TTGGACACACATGGAGAAAAGTCAGAGGGAGCGGGGCTTAGCAGGATGGAAGAGTGGCCCAGCTCCCATGGGTCCTCCCAAAATACCCTGCCAGGAGTCCTCCTTCACGTCATCCTCCTCTATTCACGGAGGCTAAAAATAGCTCCAGGAAACATTTGCTTTGTCTTTTCCATCTCTAGGCTCTGACAAAAACCCTACCGTTGTAGTCACTCCACCTTTCTGCAAACCCAGATGCCCCACAGCGTGTAATTGGTGTAAACTCAAGACTGAGTCCACTGTGGACCTGGGAGGGGCCATCCAGCTCCCTTTTCCCTTTCTAAGGCGAATTTGCCCAGGACCGCCCCACTTCTCAGGGTGGGGCTTGAACTGGCTGCTCTACTAAGCAGTTCAAAATGACCCTGCCGGAGGTTGGTTACTTAGCCATGTCATTCCCACACCTTTGGAGCTGGAAAGACAATGTTTCTGAAGCTGGCCCAGATGAGTTGGAGCTGTGGTTGATAGAGATTTGGAACCAGAAGGGACTAAGGAAGGGAAACAGGAAAAGCGACCACAAAGGAGAGGAACACGGCCCTGGTGTGGAAGAGCAGGAACCCTTGTTAGGATTTAAAGGAGGAGCCATAAATATAGGCATTTCCTCAGAGGAACCCAAGCCTGCAGAGCACCCCCCTTTGTTTGAGTTGCATGTGAGTCTGGTATTGATCCTTGACTCCACATTCATGGCATCTCAAACTGCCCCATCAGAAAGGACAACAGGAGACAGAAGTGTGCATGTTGCCGAGGGAACGGACCTTGGTCCACTAGGAATTTGACAATAATTAATGGAGACAGGCCGGGGAATGTTCCTCCTCTTGGCAGGCTTCAGAAAGTATTTATTACTGAGACATACACCCCTCCCCCAGATCCTGTGTGTTCAGTTTTCTCCATTGTTATCTCTTCTTTCTTTTGAGAAGGTGGAAGTTGAATAAAATAAAAATAGCTCTTCTGAAAAAAAAAGGAAAACTGTCTGCCAGATGGGAACCCAAGCCTCGTTATTTTCTTTCACATACTAATGTGTTTGCACCGCACTTGCTTCCTGGTGTAGCCTGAAGGGGGCGCATCATGGAATCCCAGCTTGCCACACCAGCCAGCCGTGCCATCACCTCACCCCTCTAAACAGACATGTTCTCATCTGTACAGTGACAAGAATAATAATCGTTACTACTATGTAGTGTTAGTGTGAAGATTAAATGTGATAAGATAGAAACCACCTAACAGGTTTAAAAAAATAACAGTTGCCCAGAAAATGGAGGCTAGGAATTCTTAGATATTGAGAGCTTTGCTGTTTTCATGACCTAATATATGTTTCTGTGTATAGGTCTGTGCAATCATTAACCCTTCTAAAATTAATTCCCTGTGATGATTCTCCCTAAACCTGCCTGAATACCATTTAAAGCATTAAAACACTCAGAGACCCTCTCTGAACACCTCTTAGGAGTTGCTATTCTTGAGTTTTAGTCTTAATCCCTACTCCTTGTGACACCAGTACATCATCTAACCTCGCCACATCTGGTTTGTTCTTTTGGTTTAAAGGAGATTCATGTGCCACTGAAGCTGATTGAGTTTCAATTAAGATGAAATGTGGGAAAGTGTTTGAAAAACATGGAGAGAGGTGTAGTGAGGCGATGAAGCAACTTTCACTGCCTAACAGTTAACCTAGTTTGAATTACTAGCTGCACAGCATAATAGTAATATTTAAGCTATCTCTGTAAGTCATGCTTTCTAGCCTTGTTTCCTAATGTACTTTTGAATTGCAGAGGTCTCACTATGTCTAGACGGCCCAAATGCCAAGGTTTGGGTGAAGATTCACACCCTCGCCCTTCCCTCCTTCCATGTCCTCTTCCCTCTAGATACCAGCTAGTCATAAGTTTTCTCTGCCACCATTTCCTTTTATTCCTGTTCAGAGTACCATTTAGGGTATCAGGATTAGAAGAGTAATATCATTACCATCGTTTGGAGGCACATTCCATTCTGGTATTAAATTTGTCTTTCAGTTGACGTGTGTCAGCTTCTCTGGCTCTCAGTGGGAGAGTTCTATCTAGACCCTGAACATTTCCTGTTTGTCTACAGAGAAGTGTGTTATTTCTAAACAATTTGAAATTCAGGTGGGGCATGCTCCCCCCGCCGCCCCCCCTACAACTTTAAGAATAATTGTTGGGAAGAAAATCCTTGAAGTGCCTCTGTTTGTAGATACATTTTGTGGGTTTGAGAACATGGTGATGATTAGTTCACCATTTCATTTGTGGAGCAGCCCTTTAAGATTATTACTGATATTATCCTCATGTTATAGGTAAAAGTTGAGAAACAAGACGCCAATTCGCTAGAAAGTGGGGTAATTGTAACTTAAATTGTGGATATTTTAACATTAGCAGCGTCGTCTATACTGAATTGCCCAGCAGAAGCATACTCATGGATCTGGTTTGTTCATGTTTGATGTTTTAAAAGATGTAATGGCCAGGAGCAGTAAAAAAAATTAAAAATAAACAACTTTAGGGAGAGAAGAGCAGAGTATCAACCCCTGCCCAAATGTTGGTTTGATTTTTGGAAGAATTACAAAAATATAAAACCAAAGTGGGGTGAGGGGCCTCCTGAAAACTTTCCATTTCCTCTGAGTTTTGGAAATTGGTGAAGTTTGTTTTTTTAACTATTTGAAGAAGTCTAATCATTTACCCAACCGAAGAGGTTTCTCTGTCATTATTATTTCAGTTCCTTCCCTTGTGTTCCATGCAGTAGTGTTTCTGATGGCTGGTGTTAACAGGAACTTGTGTTGCATTTGGATCAGGGTGAACCATTCTCAGCCCTCACCTGGCATGGCCAGTCAGCATCAGCCTGGGCTTCCTGCCACTTGACGATGTGCTTCTCCAACCTGCAGGAAAGCATTTGGAGAGAGCTTGATGTCCTCTGTTCAAGGGGACACAGTCCATGGATGGGGCAGTGCTGCCTCACAAGCAGTGGTGGAGCGCTCTTCCCAAGGGAGCGACCCTTGTGTGTTCAGGCTCCTTGACAGGCGTTTCTCTCCACAACAGGCTGACTTAGGTTTGTGATGTGGGCGACCTCTGTTTTGGGAGTCCTGATCCTGGTGGCTCAGATCCTAAAGAATCTGCCTGCAGTGTGGGAGACATGGGTTTGATCCTTGAGTTGGGGAGATCCCCTGGAGGAGGGCATTGGCAACCCACTCCAGTCTTCTTGCCTGATGAATCTCATGGACAGAGGACATGTCCATGTCCCATGGACAGAGGAGCCTGGTGCGCTACAGTCCATGGGATCACTGGCTGAGCAACAAACACTTAACACTTGACTTTGTACACAAGTTAACTTTACAAATGCTAATTCCACCCACACTGTTTCTCTCACAATGAGTTAGGATACAGCCTTTTCTGGCCACTCAGAGGTGAACTTGGGAAACTATCTGCCAGTGTTAGCACAACATTTGCATCCTTGCCACTCTGCAGCTCCAGGCCCAACCTGCACTGTGTGGTCATGGGCTCGCTGGTCAGGGACAGGCCGCGAAGAGGAAGAGGGCTCAGAACAGCCCTGAAGAATGCCAGGAGCCCTCCCCCCAGAATTCACACACTTTCTTCGAGGCAGTGAGTCCACACCCCTCGATGTTGGTCAAGTTTCAGCAGAAACCTCCCTTGTCCACCTTGACAGGAGAACAGGGGGTCACTGTAGGAATCTTAGATGGAGTTCACCCACTTTAATGGACATTTTAGATCAGACCTTTTTCTTACCTCGTCAGATCACTTGATTTTCCTGTAACATTGTCACTTGACCTAACATGAATCACGGATCCTAGCATTCCTGACATTCCTAGAATGTGAGTATAAAGCATCATCCATGCTCCCAAGCCAGTAGTCGGGTTGAAAGTAATAAGAACAATACATGTGAAGTAATAGCAAAAATGTAAGATACAAGATGAGTTCCTGAACCCTGCAGTCCAGACCACAAATGTATAGGTTTGGGGGGAAGGGAGTTGAAGTGGTTGGAAAAGACTTCTAGAAGGAAAGATGTGCCTTGACCTGAACCTCAGTGGTGGGTGGGGTATGATGAGATGTCTCAGGAGAGAGGATGGCAGCCAGATAGGTACATCTCTGGGCCAGGATGGGTGTGCGCAACCTGGTGGCAGCTTTGTGAGCTTGTGAGATCAGTTCGAGGTGCAGCCTCTATAGAGGGGGGAGTGATGGGTGATAAGAGGGGTAGGAAGGGTGGAGCCAGGCAGTGGAAGCATGAGCTTGCTCTAGACACACAGGAGGTGATAGTGACCCGTTGAAGATTTTTGAGTGTATATCTTTATCTAGTGCTTTGTTTATTTAAAATGTTCACCTTGAAAGGGCCTTTTTTGGATTTTAATATGACTAAATAAAAGGAACAGACATTTTGGGGTATTCCAACTAGACCACTGTTGTATTTTCTTTCCTTTGTCTTTCCAGCAAGTCACACCCTTTTACTCAACCCCCTCCATCATCCTCACAAACCACCACTTGAAAATTCTCCTGATTTTGTAGTATGTCCTCCCTTTCTCATTTTGAGCCAACTTTAGGAAACAACCCAAACCAGCAGGTGGCAAACCTGTTTTTTACATTTAAAGCAGCCAGAAAATCCTCAGCGGTGTTCTGCCATGCATCCGCAAAAAGTCCATGGATGGCAGTGGTAGCTATGTAATTCTTTGTGAAAATTGGGCTCCTTTTTCTCTGAACTTCCAGCTTCCATGCTCATGTAAATTATGTCACTTCCATGATAAAACAAACCTCTGAAGAGTGATCGGTTACCATCCCTTAAGTAAATTTTCTCTTTTAAGACTGTTAGATAAACACTGTCCTTGATGAACATATGTTTTTTAACGTTGTGGTGTGGGTTGGAGAGCGCTGCATGAATGGGCCCGTGTGAACTCCCTGGGCTGTAGCTCTGAGCTGGTTTCTGCCCTCCTGGATGATCTGTTTCTACCTTCTGCTCTTCTGTTTTAGCCTAAACCCACCAAGGGACGAATGCGCATCCACTGTCTGGAGAATGTAGACAAGGCCCTTCAGTTCCTGAAGGAGCAGAGAGTCCATCTTGAGAACATGGGGTCCCACGACATCGTGGATGGGAACCACCGGCTGACCCTCGGCCTCATCTGGACCATTATCCTGCGCTTCCAGGTGAGGGACTCGACCTGGCCACTGGGCCTCCCTGCCAAGTGTGAGCATCCCTGCAAAACTGGGCTCCCTTCCAAGGGAACCAGAAGGACCAGGTTGAAATGGCATCTCAGAGTCAGGTGTGCTGCACATCACATTCAGCTGCCCTCTGGGCATGTAGCAGCTGCCCCTGAAAGTCTTGACTCTCTTGGCAGTCAAGGGGGTTTCTGGGCCTAGTCTCAGCCCACCACTGGTGTCTTCTACTCAGCTTTCAGGAGCAGAGGTGTAAAGATGTAGTCAACGCTAGGTTACTACTGGTAGACTATCTGAACTTTGACAGATCATGGCGTGCATCGCAGAATATTTTAGGTGAAGCTGCATAGAACCGTGACACCTGTGTGGGCTGTTTTCACCTTCTCATTCTCCTTCAGGTGTAAGGAAGCAGTTTTTAGGGGGGTGTGCGGAGGTCTTATGCTTGTTTGAATTGACGAATTTATGGGTTTGTTATGCCCAGGGGTAAGGTTATAAGCGTAGAAACACTCTCAAGGTCATTCTGTCAATTTGCTTCACCTTGTGAGGGGAGGGAGGAGCCTTGCAAGGATCACGAGGCCAGTCAGGGCTACCATGCTTGCTTCTGACCCCTAAGGAAAGAGCTCAGCCTTTCCTGTCTGCAGCACCTCCGGCCTGATGGCTGGTTCTTTCTCCAGCTGTTGCTTCATGCTTCTGCTTTTCAATTAAAATCTGAAATGCAGGAAATGCTTCTTACCTAGCATCAGGTTACTTCGCAAACAAAAGTCCTCTAACAGTTCTCTCTCCTTGGAAACTGCTTTCTGTGCCTTCCCTCTTTGTTAAGTCCCTCGGATGAAGTTTGATTGATTTTTTTTTCCCCCTAGGTAAATAAAAATCTCACCAACAAAGGGCCACACCAGAAATCATATTATATACCTCCCTTTATATTCTTTAAAATGCTGAAATCACCCTCTAACCCGTCATTTTCCTTCTCACTTCCCTCGGGATTGGGCTCTAGCTTAGTGCTGTTGGTGGGTATGTGGAAGGAGGCTAGGGGGTCTAACCCAGAGCTGTTCAGAGACACTCCCTGAATGGGGGTTCCTAAACCTGGACCGATCGATCATCTGACTTCTTGGGAAAGCTTTTTACTCACTCAGGTTCCCAGGTTCCAGCCCCCAGTGCTTCTGATTAAATAGGTCTGAACGGAACTGAACTGAGGCCAGGAACCATTGTTGAAGATGATATTATTAATGGAGTGACTTGATTTTGCAAACAGAACTCTTCTATAGGTTTCTGTCATTTGGTTCCTGAATGATTTGAAAATAGAGTGTGTAACACCATTAAATTTACTGATCACTGCTCTTGGCCTTAGGCCAACAGAGGTGAAATGAGCAGGCCCCTCCTCAAGCCTTGCCTCGATTCCCTAGAGTAAGAAGTTCTATTTCTCTTGCCTTTGGCCGGTAATCAGAGCATGGAAGGACATCCTGACAATGGCCTCCCTTGACAGCAGGTTGGTGCCCATAGCCCTTGGGTTGTGAATTGGGTTGAGTCACTGACTAATTAATTCCTGCCAGCTTGCCTTTTTCTGTGCTTGAACCTGTAAATGCCTATATGTACTTTCTCCCTTTCCTCTGAGGAAAGAAACACAGGCTTATGTCACTTTGTAGCCTGCAGGGGTTGGGGGTTGGTGTCTGCCATGCCCCTGCCTCCCGAAGCAGCTTTATCAATCTATCCCCTGCTTTGCAAACACTTACTGACTCTGCTCCAGCCAAGGCCCAGCTCACATTCTGCCTCCTCTGTGAGACTTCCCCATGTATCTGCAGAGACCTCTCTCTCCACTGCCCCTCAGCTCCTGAATGTACAAACCTCGTCTTACATTACCTCTGTGTGTGTGTGTGTGTGTGTGTCCCAGAGCCCCCAAGGTGTGGCCAGCCCTGATGTGTGTAGCAGGTGTGCATTAACTACCAATGGTGACAGGTTTTATGCTGCTTTCCCTTTAAAAGAGAGTAAAAGATGATGTGAGAAACTGGAATAAAGGTCTTCGAGTTTGCGTGGTCCACATAGGGAGATGTCTTCATTTCAGAAGGTAGGTTCTGTTTCTGAAAGACCAAGTCTGAAAACAGATTCCATTCCCGAGATAGAGGAAAGCTGATAGGGGTTAATGTGTAAAGTTCCACCTGCTTTCCTGATAAGTCTGTGTCTTACACCTTGAGCGAGGGTTACTCTTGCATACTCTATAGTTTAGAATTTATGCAAACTCAAGATTTCTCTTGGACAATTTTTTTAAAAGCATAATAATTTCAATTTCTAGGTGTTTTTCCTAGTTGAAAGTTTCTAACTTTTTAATCTTACACATGTCTCTGTTTTATCCTCTTCCTACCTCTTTTTCTTAGAATTCCAGGGTATGTTTCTAGATTAGATGGAAAGACTTTTGACAGGGGCCATGACTGGGAAGCTTGGAATGGTTAGAACTGAGAGAGAATGGATGGCTTTCTAGGCTGATACCATTTTCCCCAACTCTGTTCCACATTTTATTAGTATACTCAAGGAAACTGAAGAAAGAAGGGCATTTAGAGCATTTGTCTAAAAACCACATAACTGGTAGGCAGCCCGTGATCCAAAGAGCTGACATGTAGATTTCCTTACTAAGAGCCCAGCCCTCCATATTTTGCATTTCTTCAAATGCACAGCAGTGCTCTGAGATAGCCACTCCTCAGAGGGGAAGCCGAGGAACTCACCCAAGGATCCAAAGTATGTGGGGGAACCTGGATGAAAACCTAGAAGTCTGACTTTGGTCCCAGTGAACCAGGCTCTATGTCCTGTTGAGAATCAGCAGACTGTGAGTGACTTAACGAATGTAGGCTGTCTTAGTCCGTTCAGGTTGCTAAACAAAGTACCCCAGGCTGGGTGGGCTTCCAAGCAATAGACATTTATTGTTTACAGTTCTGGGACTAGAGTGCCAGCATGGTCAAAGGAGGGCCCACTTCCAGGTCGCAGATTTCTCATTGTACCCTCACTTGGTGGAGGGCTCTAGGAAGCTCTCTGGAGCCTCTTTTATAAAGCATGCATCCCATTCATGAGACCCAGGACTCCCAAAGTCCCCACCTCTTCATAATCACTTTCTGTGGGGATTAGGATTTGAGCATAAGAATTAATGAGAGTTGGGAGCACAAATATTCGGACCATGTAGCACAGAGCATGGAAGCACAGCATTTAAAGGCACTGTTTCTCTGAGAGTTTGGGTCAGTTTTCAGGAAATGGTGCATACACAGTCCTCATCAACAAAGGACTCACTGACTCTGGTGTGGAAAATCTTTGGTTATGCAAAAACAGTATTTTCCTCAAGTCTGCTGGGATTCAAAGTGTACCATACCAGCCACCATTCTAGCCTGTGGTTGAGAAAGATGGGCTATGCTGGGAGTAGAAATAACCCCTAATAGGTTCTTGGAAATCATGGCAGCTAACTAGTCTTCACTTTACTCTTTGTGCAAAGTAGAAAACCTAGTTCTGGTCATTATTTCCAAGAAGTGAACCCTGGCTTCAGAAAGCAGTTTTCATTGACCCTCAGAGTAGACATTCTGCAAGGCTAGGTGTTGACCTAAAGCTTACTCATTATGCACATGCAGACCTCACATATCTGTTCATCTAATGTTTCTCTGTAAACCTTAGATCCAGGATATCAGTGTAGAAACTGAAGACAACAAAGAGAAGAAGTCTGCCAAGGACGCTTTGCTCTTGTGGTGCCAGATGAAGACTGCTGGGTGAGTATGAACCCAAGGGTTTAGGGGCTGCTTCTCCCCAGACTCAGTTTTACCAGTCATCACTTGATCGGTGTTGACAAGTATCTTTTCCACTGCTTCCACTGAGATGTCTTGTTAACTTGTAAGCAGTTGAGACGCTGACATTTCAGCTAGCTCTTGGGATGGAATGAGTTGATTTATATTCTGGACTTGTCATCTGCACAATCAATTTCCTTCTGTTTGTTTATTAAGGAAGTTCCAGAGAGAAGTTTATCTTGAATTTTAAAACCCTGAAACTGTGTTTAAAAATCTCATCCATGGTATTTGTAAAAGTTGTGGGCTTTCTCCTCTCTAAGTTCTGTGCTTTGGGAAGCTTTGTGCAGTAAACTTAAGTGGACAAATGTAATGTACAAACAGTCTCTGTACGTTATCTGAGTTTGCCTGCTTTTTTTTCTTTCACTGAAATTTCAGTGAAGATATTTTTTAGAGAACTGCATCTTGTTTGTTACTCACTGAAACTGTTGAAGCTCCCAGGTACTAATTGAGAGCTGGTTTTGTCCCAGGTTGATTTTTTAAGTTTCTATTGAATTTGTTACCATATTTCTTTTGTTGTTTATGTTCTGGGTTTTTGGCCATGAGGCATCTGAGATCTTAGGTCCCCAACTGATCAGGGATACAGGGATTGAACCCGCACCCCCTGAATTGGAAGACAAAGTCCTAACCCCTGGGCCACCAGGGAAGTGTCCCCCAAGTTAATCTTGTAGGTCAGGGCTACATGGAGGACAGTTGTAACTCTAATGGGTGTGATCAGTCAGTGATAACTGTGGAAACCATGAAGAGTATAAGGGGATCAAGTTAGAAATGAACTTTTAATCAACCATGGATAGAAAGTTATTAATAATGTGGTGTAGAGTAGCTGATTGATTATTGGTTAGTGTTATAGGGAAGTGTTTCAGGAAGGTACTTGATTTATGAAACTTCATCCAGTTCAGTGATATAAGGAAGAAGGAAAGCTGAGTGTTTGAACAGGTAACCCTAGCTACTTCCTCTCCCAAAGTGATGTGTGCACTCAGGTATCCGTGTTTCCAGGCTTCTCATAGCTGCGCTGGGGGTATGGAAAGCCAGTGAAGCAAGGAAACCTTGGAGGCATCTAGTCAGGGTTGCCTTTTTCTCAGTAAGCATGGTGTTTTCAATCAAGGACACAGATCACAGGTTGAAATTACCAAGAAAGAAAGCCATGTGACACATATATGTGTTTGTTTTTATTTTTCAACAAGCAGAAGTTTAGGCGATCTTCGCTTCAGCTTGATTGTCTTCAGTGTCTTTATTTCGTTATTGTCTCACATTTTTGCAGTACCAACAGGCTTTTCTTTAAACACTGCATTTAGCAGAGCACAGACCTTTATCTGGTAATTGCCTTGCATTGTATTTCTTAGGTACCCCAACGTCAACATTCACAATTTCACCACCAGCTGGAGGGATGGCATGGCCTTCAACGCACTGATACACAAACACCGGTGAGTCCTTTGCAGTCACGCTGACCACGTCGGGGGAGGGCATTGACAACCTTGTACAGCCGACCTGGGTGATGTTCCATCCTCACGTTCGTTGCCTTAGATGTTGCACCACGGTGGGAATCCCTGCCTTCCACTTGAGGAGAGTGGGAGAGAGTGTGTAAAGTGTCCCAAACAAAGGAAACGAGTCTGCCAATTCTCTTCAGTTCTCTTAATAAACTTTGAGGTTGTTTATTCAAAAATTGGGTTTCATTGTTTGATGATTAAATAATATTGTAGACTTTTACTCATAAGTGGACACCATTGGTCTCACTGTGTTTTCAAGCTGCGGTTTCTGTTGTGTTCCACTGTTGTTCTCCACAGGCCTGACCTGATAGACTTTGACAAACTAAAGAAATCCAATGCACACTACAATCTGCAGAATGCCTTTAACCTGGCAGAGCAACACCTTGGCCTCACTAAACTCTTGGACCCCGAAGGTAAGGAGCTGAGGGGTAAGAGGAGTAAATAGAAAATCTGCTTCATGTCAGTTTGTTTACGGGCACCATGTGCTTTGGGAATTATCTAAGGAAGAGGAGCTTAATGTTGGTATATGAATTACTTGAGGATTTGTGTAAAGGATTATACCTGAAATGGCCTTGAAACATGAGTATGATTTAAACATGTTGTAAAGGAGAGGTCATGGTAGGCAGAGGGATTTATATGAGTAAAGGAACCAGAAAAGAGGAAGGCGTAACAGGGGACTAACAGTTCATTAGGGGTGGTGTTAGCTTAACAGTAGGAAACATACAACCAGAAAGGTGAGCGGGGCCCAACAGGTAACAGTTTTTTGAGGTTATTCAGCAGGCAGTGGGGAGTCACCATAGGTGCTTAGACTCTGTGTTTAAGGAAGAGGGCGTGAGCAGGCTCTTGCTGGTTGACTGATAGTGAGTCCGTGGTTTGGCCTGGGGGCAGGAAGGTTTAGGAGCCTCCTTAGCAGACTGTGCAGTATTTGCTTCTGAGTAAGAAGAGCTTAAATGAGGACAATGCACCAAGAGCCTGTGGGTGGTAGAAAGAGTAACACGCAGTCCCTCCTTGTGGCCCGCTGCTTGGCGGCACAGCACCCTACTCTGCGCATAACCAACCTCTCTCTGCCCCACAGATCCCTGCAGCAGAACCTCAAAGATTGACTGTCGACGGCATAGAGCAGACCTGTGTGGGGCAATCCAATGGGCTGTAACTCCTTTATTAACAAAATCCTAATTGTAGGCTTCATCTTAGCATGAGCTATCATAATGTTTTCTAATGTGGATAAGTATTCAAAATGCCAAAGAATTTGTAGGGCTGGAGCTCTCTCAGCTGTGAGCAGATACTGAGAAAAAGCTGCATGTGAGTGAAAGTTTAAAGTGCTTACAAATATAGAACAGGAAGTTAAACTCCCCAAGGGCAGGTCGAGGTCATGAGGCTGCCAGGCAGGCTTCTTGCTGTTTTCCAGTGCATCAGATTCACTGATAGGTTTACTGCAGGAAGCTGAGATAAAATTATCTTTGTGCCAGCCCGTTAAGTGATTTCTCAATATAAACAGAAAACTAAAATTCCTTTGGCTGTGATAAATCTTTATACTTAACCCCTGCCTTACTGTGGAAAGACATCCTCCCTGAGCCATAGATCTTTGTGCTGAGATAAAGAATCTTTTTTTGAAATCACTGTGATAAAAAATTTAATAACTCGCTCATTAGTTGATCTTTCTAATCACCACCCACTATGAAAAGGGGATTGATGTTCCCCAGGTCATTTGAAGACAAGGAGCTAAAAAAAGCAGTTGCTTTCATTCATCCTGTGGTTTTGATCTTGATTATTAGTTGTCCTTAACTATTGTTAGTTGCCTGGTGTCCCAGAGAGCATTCGTTTAAATACAATTGTAAAAAAGTTAAAAAGGTCTTGCCTGCTCACTCCTTCCCAGTCATCTCTCATTTTGTGTTTATTAAATTATACACAGGGTCAGGGCTGGGACTTTTCCCCTGCCCTTCCTCCAGTTCTGTCTCCGTGGGGCCCCCGTTGACAGAGCCAGACACAGGAGTTGGTCACAGGGGCCCTGGAGTGGGAAGAGTCACTGTGGCCCCCTCTTCCATTGGCTGCCTCGGTGACGCTAGGCAGGGAGCTTTCCCACCCTGTGCCCCGGTGGTCTTGTCTTTAAGAGAACAACCCTACCCACTTCTATCCTCCTGGCAGCAGTGGAGGTGCACAAGTGAATGCACTTAAAAAAAGAGCCCACCATGTCAGCAAAGAGCCTTCTGTGTGTTCTCCACTTGGTGGACCCTGAACTGAGTACCTCTTTCATCATTGCCATACCCCAAAGACTGGCCACCTTCATTCATTTGCTCCTTCCCTCAATAAATATTTATTGACCACTCACTCTCTCTATATACAGCACATTAGGAGGGGAGAGTCAGAGTGGCACTCAGTCTTATAAGACTAATGAAATGTGCATAAGTAATCATAGAGCCTGACAGAAAGCAGAGTATAAATGAAGTCCTTTAGAGGACAGAGAAGACAGTCTTTCCAGCTATAGGGACTTAGAAATGACTGTGAGGGAGTGTTAGCTTCTAAACTGAACCTAGAGGATAGGAAGAATGTGACTGGGGTAGGGAGGGCCTTTCAGGCAAAGGGAAATTGAAAGTGGAAGGAATATTTGAAATGGCTGAGGTAGTGATGGCGGTGGTGATGGTGAATAGTTCAATTTGGTTCAGATCTATGGCACCTTAGAAGAACTAGTAGGCTATAGCATGAGAAATGTCTAGAATGGTGCTTTCCACTTAGAGGAAGCTTGATAAATATTCGATGGATGGATGAAAGGAAGGGAGGGAGGGAAGGAAAGTTATGGGAAGTTGTAGAGGACTTCGGGACTTATTTTTCAGACTGCAGGGCACTTTTTGAGTCGTTTGGGCTTAGAGGAAGTATGCTCACAACTCTGCTTCTGGAACATCAGCTGGGTGCAGTGTGTAAAAGGAATTGAGTAGCAGGGAGACCTAGTGAGGAAGCCATTGCTTCAGGTCTGGTGACCGTGAGAGTCTGACCTGAGAGTGACAATAGATTCCATGAATAGAATCATCTGATCTCAGCCTTGGTGACTGACTGGATGTGAGTAACAAGGAGATAAAGATGTCCATAGGCTTAGTGACTGGGAAAAACTCTGGTGCCATTGGCCAAAATAAGAAGCACAGAGCAACTTGGGGGTGGGGGAAGTGAACATGGTGTGTCTGGGTAGTACCCACACCGCTGAGTTATCTAACTCAATTCTAACTATGTTATTCATTTCCACGTAGTAGTTTTGTGTGTATTTCATCATCTCAGTGGCCTAGGATTCTTGAGAAAAAGGATCAGGTCTTTTAAGACTTCTGTGTCTTTATTGGTAATAGGAGGCAGTTTTGAATGTTCATATAATAAAAAAGGTGGTGAGGTGGTTTCATCCTCTTTAGTTAGCCTTACAATCAGCACTTTGATGGCAGAACTTTCAAACCCCCCAAAAGGAAGGCATGAGCCTGTTGAGGTTTGAGCAATGCGTTGTTCCTGCTGCCTGGGTGGCAGTGCAGTGAGCAGAGCACTGAATATAATCTTCTCTGGGTTACAGATATCAGTGTGGACCACCCTGATGAGAAGTCCATTATCACTTACGTGGTGACTTACTACCACTACTTCTCAAAGATGAAGGCCTTGGCTGTTGAAGGAAAACGAATTGGAAAGGTGAGCTCACACCAGTCCTGTAAGTTGTGAGACGTAATGAAGGTTTTTGTCTAAATGTGTCGCCACCATGCCTCAGACATTGAGGTGCTGGGAGTTCTTGATGAAGTTCTCCAATGGCAGGGAAGTGGGCAGAAGTCTGCCATCCCAAAGAGTAACAGGATGTGGGCATGGTGGCTGAAATACTTAGGAAGAAAGTTTAGGGGGGAATCTCATACCCAGGGCTTCCCAGGTAGCTCAGCTGTTAAAGGATCCGCCTGCTGTGCAGGAGACCCTGGTTCGATTTCTGGGTTGGGAAGATCCCCTGGAGAAAGATAGGCTACCCATTCCAGTATTCTTGGGCTTCCCTGATGGCTCAGATGGTAAAGAATCCTCTTGCAATGCGGGAGATCTGAGTTTGATCCCTGGGTTGGAAAGATCCCCTGCAGGCGGGCATGGCAGCCCACTCCAGAATTCTTGCCTGGAGAATCCCCATGAACAGAGGAACCTGGCAGGGGCTGTATCCCATGGGGTCACAAAGAATCGGACATGACTAAGCGATGCTACACACAGGCACACAGACCTGAAACAACCCTCCCCTAAGCCTTGCCAGAAAATTGGGTATTAAAAATCTGATTGAGTTGCCTGATGTTATGGATGTGAAAATCCTACTTAACATGCTTGTAAAAGCCTTAGAGTAAGGCTTTTTAAATTTTTTTGTTTAGCTGATGTTCCCCTGCCATAACACCTCAGACCAGAGGACCTTGTCTTCCCAGTGCAATGGAATGGAAAATCCACGGGCGTTCATGGAATATGACCAAACCAAATAGAGCCTTTTTAGTTTCTCTAGGAATTTTGGAGCCCAGGCATCAGGAGTCATTCAGGATCTTAAACCCTTTGCCTGGGGTTTGGGAGGTTACAGAACCAATTACAGTTGAGTAGGCTGTCATTGCTCACAAATAATGGCCACAGTCTGGGCACCTGTTAGCGAATGGTTCTTGGAATTTAGTGCCAGAGTCTTGGAGAACCATTTCAAAGCCAGTCATTAAGCATGTGCTGGCTCCTGGAGGACTGCAGTCAGGTTCCCCTTACGTAATGACACTCTCTTGCTTTTCCACTTTTCTAACCCTTGTTTACAGGTGCTTGACAACGCTATTGAAACAGAAAAAATGATAGAAAAGTATGAGTCCCTTGCCTCTGACCTTCTGGAGTGGATTGAACAAACCATCATTATTTTGAACAATCGCAAATTTGCCAACTCACTCGTTGGGGTCCAGCAGCAGCTTCAGGCGTTCAACACTTACCGCACTGTGGAGAAGCCCCCCAAGTAAGATGCAGATTGGAATGCATTACCCTTCCTACAGCCATAGACCCCTCTTTTCTGACTCACATGGTCTCATCTCAAAGTGAATGCCTTTTCCCAGCGGCCTGTCCTACTTCTTTTCATCTGAGTCTGTGTTGCTGAGATTTATTACAAATTGCACACTGTGAGCCCTTTCCAGTAGAAATGTGCCGCTGGGACATGTGATACTTGAGAATCCTAAGAAATGGTGCAAGTCCCCAGTTCCTCCTGAGCGCTTGTGCCTACTGTGTTTCAGAATTCCATCGTTTCTGGATTTTAGAGAAATAGCAGATATGTTGTGTGTTGTAAGCCTCTAGGTGGACTGAGGCTGTTACTCATAATCAAGCCCACTAACGTATCAGTAGCAAAACGTGTAAATGTTCACAAAGTTTCATATCAGTTCAGATCAGGTTTTGTTGCCCCCCCAAAGTTTGATTGTTCACGTATTTTGAAAATTCATAATTGCCCGATAAGCATTGTGGATCTTATCTCTTGCTTATTATGACTAGAGTCATTGCTCCTTTTTTCTGAAAACTCCACTCTAGTAAATTCCTGGCTGAAGTCCCTGCAGCCTGTTGACAGTGATACTAGGTGTTTGTTTGAAATAATCCTTGTTGAATACATTCAACTGTGAAGCAAGTTCATCATCCAGGGTTTGGTGTCTAAATCTTGATGGAGTTGATTAACAAAAGAGTAGCACTTTGTGCCCCCAAATGTAAATCTCAGGAACAGTAACCAACCGCAAGAAAAACCCCATAGTTGGGCACATACTGAGGTCTGCAGTACCCAAAAACTGTGGTTTCTCTAATACACACGTGTTTCACATAAATTGGGATGGAGAGAAATGGCTTTTAAAATTGCGAGGCTGCATGAAGTGTCTTTCTCTAGAAGCAGATGAATTTTCTCCTTTGAAGAAACACAATATAGTAGATAATGTTTATGGCTGGTTTTCTGTCTAGATTTACTGAGAAGGGGAACTTGGAAGTCCTGCTTTTCACCATTCAGAGCAAGATGAGGGCCAATAACCAGAAGGTCTACATGCCCCGGGAGGGGAAGCTCATCTCTGACATTAACAAGGTACAAGACCCATCCATCTGGCCTGCTGTCTGGGCCCCAGCCTCCTGTAGGTTTTCTGGTGCTCTCAGTAGGTCTTGATTGCTGAGAGATCTTGGAAGACCCCTTCCTGGCCTGTCAGTTACTGAGTGACAATCATTGCTCCTATAACTCAGGATCAGTGGAGTGCTTGTGGTGATTTGGGGGACTTTACTGGAGGTTTGGGGGTGTTAGAGTTTATCAAACCAGGTTTAACCTGCTTACCTTGCTACTCAGATCCACAATCAGTTTACCTCTTATCTGTCCCAGGCTGCTGGCTCAGCCATCTTTCAATTGCAGAGGGGAGAATTCAAAACCTTATGTATCTGGAATTCCTAGAGGTTAGAGCTTAGAATTGTGACTTTCTGTCAAGGAAGCTGTCAAAAAAATTGTTTCTATACCTGTTACGTCTGCAAGTATTTAATTTCATTATTGCTAAGCAGAAACTTGAAAAAAGTCTAGAACCATGATCAGTTGTACACATTTAGATATCTTTTAAGAGGACTTTGTTAAATGATGTGAAATAAGATATTTCACAGGAATGAATTTAATTGGTGAGGATTTGGGAAAAAATACTCAGATCTATGAATTAAAAATAAGTGGCTCAGAGTGCAGTGAATGAAAGATGGATAATATGATTTCTTAGAAGAAGTCGTTTATCTTTTTTATATGCTGAGAGCTGTTGAAGATACTTTGCTTCCTCTCAATGAAAGTTAAGAGATTTGTAACTTAAGTTACGTTGTTCCATTTATCTTCACTAACATAAAATCTTTAAATTTAGATAGGGAAGAGTATTCCCATGGGGCTCAACTGAGAAAAAATGATTTTTTTTTCCCAAGGCTAAGAGTCACTGAGGGTGGGAATGGGATTTCCCTTTTAAGTTCTTAGGTCTTTTTGAGAAGCACTGGCTGTTAACTGCAGCCTAGGAATGGTTCCTTAAAAGTAGCCAGAAACCATTCTCTTTCATTTCCATAGGCCTGGGAAAGACTGGAAAAAGCAGAACACGAGCGAGAACTGGCCCTGCGAAACGAGCTCATAAGACAGGAGAAACTGGAACAGCTCGCCCGCAGATTCGACCGCAAGGCAGCTATGAGAGAGACCTGGCTGAGTGAGAACCAGCGTCTGGTGTCCCAGGTCTGTTCCGGAACTGTGTCCCCTGGAACCTAGGCCACGCCCAGGGGCCTTCAGACAGCGGTTGTCCACATACAGCATCCCATCTCATCCACTTCCTGTGGAGAGGATGTTTATGATTTCCAATATAGTTTCTCTTCTATTTATCTAAATTTTCATAGATCTGGAAGTAGCTCAAACAAAGTTTGTTTAGAGCTAGTGAGTGTGTGTGAACCATTCATATTTGAATAGTTTTTTTTAAATTCCCTTTCTCCCAGCCTTTGGCCTTCAAGGCAGCTAGACTGGCCTTGAAATAAATAAGTGGCTCCTTTTCTTCTTGGCTTAACATAAGCCATCACCTGCTCCAGTCTCGTAGGTCAGGTGCTGCATACATGCCTCACCCCTCTGTAAAGTGAGATGTCACTGATTTGCTTTGGGCCCATGAGCAGTTCTGCGGAGGCCAGTGGGGTCGGGACTCTGGATTCAGTGTTTGACTTTGGGGACCTCCACCCCAAAAAATTTAACGGGTGTGCTCAGGACTTCACTTCCATTTTCTGTTTCTTTTTTCCACACTGGATGGCTTTTGAATTTTGTGTTCATTCTTTCTGTTCCCTTTTCTCTTAGGACAACTTTGGATTTGACCTTCCCGCTGTCGAGGCTGCCACAAAAAAGCACGAGGCCATTGAGACTGACATCGCCGCATACGAAGAACGTGTGCAGGCTGTGGTGGCTGTGGCCAGGGAACTGGAGGCGGAGAACTACCACGACATCAAGCGCATCACAGCGCGGAAGGACAATGTCATCCGGCTCTGGGAGTACCTGTTGGAGCTGCTCAGGGCCCGGAGACAGCGCCTCGAGATGAACCTGGGGCTGCAGAAGATATTCCAGGAAATGCTCTACATCATGGACTGGATGGATGAAATGAAGGTAAAAGACATGCCTGCCTGTAGGCTGGAGCTCATTCAGTCAGGCCTCTCTCTCTTCTGGGCCCCGCCCACTAACCCTCAACACACAGTTATGCCCCTGGTCTAGTCACCCGCATACAGTCAGAGAAGGGCCACATCACTCATGGGAAGGCTGTTGGCTCACACCTTAAGTGAGCTGTGAAGTGACAAGTGGTAACAGGACCAGTTCCGTAGCTGAAGGTCTGCTGCTGTGACTCAGGTCTAATTTAGATAGATTCCATGGTAGGCGATCAGTAATTGTGATTTTCAGTGGTTTTAATTATTTAGCATTGAGCCAGATCACTGTCTCATTGGTCTATGTACGAGTGGCTCTGCTTTGGGGAAGGGCCCAGGCAGGTGGTGTGGAAGAGCAGGAGGCAGCGTGGACAGAGTGCAGCCCTGCCACCAGGCAGCCAGAATCCAGATCATGAATGCCACAGCTTCCCTGCCTTCCTCTGCAAGTGGAGGATGTGCTTACTGTCTCCCTCATGTGGTTACGGAAAGAATTAAGTGTAGGTATCATAGGACGGGGGCTGGAGGGGCTCCAGTGCTCCCCTTCCGTTACAGCTCTGAGCATGGAGTTCCCAGCTCCCCCCGACCCAGGAGGAGCCCTGCCTGTCCTGTCCTCTGATGCAGGCCTCTGATGAGAGCTCACCCATGCCCAGCCATTCTCCTCCAGCTGGGAGGAGTTCAGCCCCATAGCCAGGGCAGAGTAAGGCAGTTTTCAGACAGGACCGTGAAGCCTTCTTTATCTCACACACTGTGTTCGTTTCCAAGCTTGACCTTCTGTGAGGATTTCCTTCCTGGGATGTAAGCCCTTGTTTTGTGCTTACCTCTTGAACTGTTCCTGGCAGGGGGAGCAAGGTCACTTCATACCATTAGTTTTTCCCTTTTATGGTCCCAGATTTGTGATGTTCTCATATATGTTCTCATTAGTCTTAACCACCTAAAATAGAAATGTTCATAAAATCTAGCAGAGAGGTGCTTTGCACTTTAAAATTCATCCTCCATTTTGTAACTCAGATTGGACCAGAGACCTCCTCATAAGTAAGAGTGAAGTAGAAATTCCATCTGAAGAGGATGTCTGATGAGACCACCCTTCTCCCCAAATTGGGGTGATGGAAGAAATGAAAGAAAATATTAGCAGGTTCAAACTTAAACCAGAGACGTTGCTTGGGGCATTGTTCTAAGGGTGATAGTCACCTGAGCTGACCGTGTTATCCTTATTTGATTAAAGATGTGGTCTGTAAGCTTTTCCACTTGATGTCTTTTCCCATTGACTGTGTAAGTACAGAGGTCTACCAGTGAGCTCTCAGACAAGGAGAGCATCCAGGTAAGAGGTCAGCAGCTTCGAGGAGATGTCTTTAGACTGTGATATGAAGCAACTGTCATCTTTATTGTCTTTTCTTGAATAGTTGTTACTGCACCAGTTTCTTCTTGGAGGCCCAGTTTATTTCATACCGGTGCCCCCTCCCTTCCTTTTTTTTTTTTTCCCTATTCTGTACTTTTTAGTGTAGGTTTGACTTCTTATTCAACATAGATGATCATTAGTTTATTACATCTCTCCTGCTGCTCTTGGGTTTGTTCTGCTCTGATTTTCTTGCCATCATCTTCCTCTGAAGATACGGGGAGGGTGGCTGGAGGGATGGTACAGCTTGGCTGCTGGCTTGCATCCTGTCCACAGATTGTGAGATGCTGAAGTCCAGGTTGTACTCACGGTTGTCATCTCTGTGCCTCTTGTGGACAGGTGCTGTTATTGTCTCAAGACTATGGCAAACACTTGCTCGGCGTGGAAGACCTCTTACAGAAGCATGCCCTGGTTGAAGCAGATATTGGCATCCAGGCAGAGCGGGTGAGAGGTGTCAACGCTTCTGCCCAGAAGTTCGCGACTGACGGGGAAGGTAAGGATGGACTGACCCCAACAGTACCTCCTTAGCACCAGAGGCCCGTCTCTAGAGACGGATGAGCTGTGTATGGTAGTATAGCCTTGAAAGGTACCAGGCATTTGTGGGTTCCCAGTGGGCCATGTTGGGGCTATAACAAGATGCCTCCTGAACAGTTTTAACTCCGTCTTACTTTTCTGAAATGGACCTATCTTTCCCTTCAGTACCCAAGCGCTACTTGCTTATGTTGGGCTTGAACTTTGCCAGACCACGTTTGGCACACCCACTGCCTGGCATGGCTCTCTTGGCTTTCACACCTGGTCGTGCAGATGTTTGTCCTAAGTTTGTTTGGAAAGGTTTGGTTTTGTGCAGGTTCAGAAACATTTAAATGCAGCTGCCTTCTTTCTTATAGTTTACCTCATTTTTTGGTTCCTAAGTGACCCAAAAGAAAATAATACTTGGGGCCAAAAAAATAACATTGCTTCTCCCTCCTCTACCAATCAAGATCCTAGAAGGTGGCCCTGCACTTTGCATGAGTGGGGGACCGAGGAAGGAGAACAGGGGTGTGGCCGACTGCCTGTCTGTGCACGGGAGCCCATGCTACCGCTGTCACACCCATGTGCCTGCCTTGATGTTACACAGGTTACAAGCCCTGCGACCCCCAGGTGATCCGAGACCGAGTGGCCCACATGGAGTTCTGTTACCAAGAGCTTTGCCAGCTGGCGGCGGAGCGCCGGGCCCGCCTGGAAGAGTCCCGTCGCCTCTGGAAGTTCTTCTGGGAGATGGCAGAGGAGGAGGGCTGGATCCGGGAGAAGGAGAAGATCCTGTCCTCCGATGACTACGGCAAGGACCTCACAAGCGTCATGCGCCTGCTCAGCAAGCACCGGGCGTTCGAGGATGAGATGAGCGGCCGCAGCAGCCACTTCGAGCAGGCCATCAAGGAGGGTGAAGACATGATCGCCGAGGAGCACTTCGGATCAGAGAAGATCCGGGAGCGGATTGCCTACATCCGCGAGCAGTGGGCCCACCTGGAGCAGCTCTCAGCCATCCGCAAGAAGCGCCTAGAGGAGGCCTCGCTGCTGCACCAGTTCCAGGCGGATGCCGACGACATTGACGCCTGGATGCTGGACATCCTCAAGATCGTTTCCAGCAACGACGTGGGCCACGATGAGTACTCCACCCAGTCCCTGGTCAAGAAGCACAAGGACGTGGCGGAGGAGATCACCAACTACCGGCCCACCATCGACTCGCTGCACGAGCAGGCCAGCGCCCTGCCCCAGGAGCACGCTGAGTCCCCCGACGTGCGGGGCCGGCTGGCGGGCATTGAGGAGCGCTACAAGGAGGTGGCCGAGCTGACGCGGCTGCGGAAGCAGGCGCTGCAGGACACTCTGGCCCTGTACAAGATGTTCAGTGAGGCCGACGCCTGTGAGCTCTGGATTGATGAGAAGGAGCAGTGGCTCAACAACATGCAGATCCCAGAGAAGCTGGAAGACCTGGAGGTCATCCAGCACAGGTGAGCAGCTGCCATGGGGTCACCCAGCCCACCCACCCTCCCACCCTGCGCAGCTTCAGTGACCAAGCAGGTGACCGCTCTGTCGAATTGCCTTTGCAGATTTGAGAGTCTCGAACCGGAGATGAACAACCAGGCTTCCCGGGTGGCAGTGGTGAACCAGATTGCTCGGCAGCTGATGCATAGCGGCCACCCAAGTGAGAAGGAGATCAAAGCCCAGCAGGACAAGCTCAATACGAGGTGAGCATGAGGCCAGTGGCAGCAGGCTGGCTCCCTGTGCCCGGCCAGGAGGATTGGGACTGCCCCCTGAGCCTCATGGTCAGGAATTTCCTGCATGGGGTGACTGACACTGTGGCGCCATTGTCATGGCATCAGCATCTGTCTTTCGACATACCCTGGTTTTCTGAGAAGTATCTCTGGGCGCAACATGGTTCAGGGCACCCCTCCCACATGTGGGAAGCGAGAGCCTGCATGAGACCCATGCCCAGCATAGTGGGTCGTGACATCAAGGTGGCACTTCTGCTGTCCCTTTTAAAGTGATTTCTGAAACAGGGTTTTAATATGTTTGAGATGAATTGGTGGACTAAAGTCCTAATTATCAAGGTAGACTTTTGTCCTGGTGTTATCTTTCTATTGAATAAATACATTTGAGTGGGTCGTGGTGGCAGCTAAAGCCTTGGGGTATGGGACATGTTTAGTAGGTACAGCTTGGAGGTAAGAGGTGCATTGCAGTCAGGAGTTAAGTGACCCTGGGGGACAGATGTCTTGTCACTGCTCATCTTTCCACTCTTTTAAGTCCCTCTCCTTGTCAGACTTCTTACAGGTTAGAGTGTGTCCCTGAGCTTTTGCGATGGTGATACCTGGTGTCCACATACTGAGGGAGGTGATTTTTCCAAACAACACAGAGTCAGAGCAGAAGTGGCAGGAGAATGGCAGCTGCGACCGTCACTATGAATTTCTTTGTCCAGTGTCTCACACTGCTTTCTCTGCCACCCTGGCACCCACAGGTGGAGTCAGTTCAGGGAGCTGGTGGACCGGAAGAAGGATGCGCTCCTCTCCGCCCTGAGCATCCAGAACTACCACCTCGAGTGCAACGAAACCAAGTCATGGATCCGGGAGAAGACCAAAGTCATCGAATCCACCCAGGACCTGGGCAATGACCTGGCGGGTGTCATGGCCTTGCAGCGCAAGCTGACCGGCATGGAGCGGGACCTCGTGGCCATCGAGGCGAAACTGAGTGACCTGCAGAAGGAGGCCGAGAAGCTGGAGTCCGAGCACCCCGACCAGGCCCAGGCTATCCTGTCTCGGCTGGCCGAGATCAGTGACGTGTGGGAGGAGATGAAGACCACGCTGAAGAACCGTGAGGCCTCCCTGGGAGAGGCCAGCAAGCTGCAGCAGTTCCTGCGGGACCTGGACGACTTCCAGTCCTGGCTCTCCAGGACACAGACAGCCATTGCCTCGGAGGATATGCCTAACACCCTGACCGAGGCCGAGAAGCTCCTCACACAGCACGAGAACATCAAAAACGAGATCGACAACTACGAGGAGGACTACCAGAAGATGAGGGACATGGGCGAGATGGTCACCCAGGGCCAGACAGACGCTCAGTACATGTTCCTGCGGCAGCGGCTGCAGGCCCTGGACACAGGCTGGAACGAGCTCCACAAGATGTGGGAGAACAGGCAGAGCCTCCTCTCCCAGTCCCACGCCCACCAGCAGTTCCTGCGGGACACCAAGCAGGCTGAAGCCTTCCTGAACAACCAGGTAACGTCCCCCACCGCTTGGCTTCCTCCCCATCGGGCTGGGCCTCGGCCGCCTGTGGGCTGCTGGTTTACACCTATTTGGGTGAAGTTAGAAGAACAATGGACAGACATTTGTTTTCCCTGATTTTAAGGCACTGAAACCCATCACAATGAAGGGGATAGAACTGAAGATTCCTATGGAGGCTGCCTTGCCTTGCGAAGTACAGTTCCAGCACAATAATGGTCTAGGACCTGTTAATGTCTCATAGTATATCATCATAGTAGTTCATTACATTGGCAACGTTCTGAGATGTATTAATCCAATTGAAAAGTATTTGGGGGGAACTTTTTTTTTCTGAAAGGTTTTGTCTTCCTTGCTCTTAGAAAAGTCAAGGATTTGATCAAGTGACAATGCAGAAATTAGAGAAAGAGCTAAGGATGGTCACCAACAGCAGGGTTGATAATGTCTCTTGAAAGATTAAGTTTGAAGGGTCTGTTGCTATCACCTTATGGGCACATGAGCAGATCCTTGTGGCTGATGCACAAACCTTCATTTACTTCCCTCACTTGCTTTGGGGGAAAAATGAGAGCCATTTGATCACTTAAGGGAATCTAGTCACTTTGGGCATCTCATTGGGATATTTTTCCCCCTCCCAACTTTTTCTGTTATCTGACTCCATAGATAATTTTATCTAAGTGTGACAAAGCAGTTGTTGCAAAGTGTGTTGCACGGAAATGGGGAAAACTTGTTTTTTTTTTATATTCTGAAGGCAAGTTGTATCTCATGATTTTTCATCCTGTTGTGATTTTCCCTTTTTAATTAAGGAGTATGTTTTGGCCCATACTGAAATGCCCACCACCTTGGAAGGAGCTGAAGCAGCTATTAAAAAACAAGAGGATTTCATGACCACCATGGATGCCAATGAGGAGAAGATCAACGCGGTTGTGGAAACAGGCCGGAGGCTGGTGAGCGACGGGAACATCAACTCGGATCGCATCCAGGAGAAGGTGGACTCCATTGACGACAGGTGCGGAGTCCTGACACTCTTAAGGGAGTCTTGCACCCTGGGGCCCTCAAGCATCTGTATCATTGGCCAACATCTTTGGGGCTATGGGTTTAAATTCCAAAGTGGGCAGGATACGGGCTTCTAGTAAAATTTAATCTACAAAAGAAAGCCTAAAAGGCCAAGCTAATCCCTAATCAAAGACTTACAAAGCTGGAATGCTGAGTAGCAGTGGGGTATAAGCCTGCCCTGTAAGAGGTGATACCCAGCACATCACCCAATGGGACCCTGAGAACCAGACGCTTCCCCATCCAGCCAAACCCACGTTCACCTTCATCCAAGCAAGACTCCGAGGTCTTAGGAGGGATAAGGAAGAAGGACAAGGTTGTTTGTCCTGAGTACCTGGCAGAGCCAAAAAGGGAGCATCTTTAGACCTTTACTAGAAGGCCTAATGGATAACACTGTATTGGCATCTTGTTTATGAGAAAAGACCTTTTCCTCTTCAGCCAAGCTCTCTCCACCATTAGATGCTGTTGTTTTGTTTTTATTTTCAGTTCCAAGAGATTTTTCTCCCTGGCCACATTCTGTGTCAAACCCTCTCTCCTAACACTCACTCTGCCTTGGTTATTGCTGAAGTGGGAGGTCTAGTGGATCTGGTTTGGACACACAGCCTGGCCTGGTTCTGGCCTGTTCTGAGCTGGCCACTTCTCTCCAGGGATGGACTATCTGAGTCAGTCACCAGTGTCTGTTACAGCTGATCTCCTCTGGTCCCAGTTTGGGCCAGATTTACAGGCTCATTGTGAGATGATGTCGTTAAGAAACAAGCTCTTCCTCAAGGCTCCTCTGACCTTCCAGTACAGTGAGAAGGAAGAACTGCCAGTGGGGAGCAGTTCCTTACTTACCGTGTCTGAGAGGGTGTCCTGGGACCCTGGGCCACGTAAACTTGTCACGAGTGGAGAGGGGAACGACTCGTTGCCTGTAAAGATCGGGCTCCTGGCTTTAGCCAATCTGTCCTGTACACTGATTCAGATCCTAAACCATATGCTGTAGGGATGGTACTGTGGGAATAGGGTATAAGGTAGATTATAATTTTGTATCTGTTGCTTTTAAAACAGCTACCAAAAAAAAGTCTCCCCACCTTCAAATTAGTATGAGAAACAAGGATTGGGCAAGACAGTTTTAACAAGGAGAAAAAAAATTTCCTTTTCTCTGGGTGTTAAATCTCACTATATTGTAAACATGATATCCCACGTTCCTCCACGTTAGGTGCACACAGCTGGTTTCCTGAAGATGGGCTGGGCCATTGGGGACACTTGTGTTTAGGCGGGCGTGCAGCTGCCTGGCTGCTTCCTCAGTGTGTTGATCTCCCCCCCACCCCACCCCCATGCCACAGCTGCAAGGGCTTGTTGGAAGCAGGTGATGCTGTCTAGACTGGAGACTCCTGGATAAGAGAGAACGTTTTAGCAGCTCTTTGTTGCAGCTTAAGTTTCCCTTTGTCCTTGACTCAGAGCCTGGGCACCTGGGGTTCCCAGGCCTCCTGGGGATTTCTGTTGTTAAAAGCAGTGGGGAGATGATCCTCTACTGTCCTTAAGCATAACAGAGAGAGAGGGGAGCGGGGCTTTCTGGTGATCTACCCTCAGAAGGATTGCATTTTCTACCTTTCCTCAGCATAGGTTCCCCGAATTCTGCTTTCACTTTAATATCCTCAGAGACCTAAAAATCTGAAACCTGTTCCCAGAGGATACTGGTCTGTTATAAAAATATACAAATCTCAGTTCCAGGTGGTGTCGGAGCACAAGCTAAGTAAATATCTAAACCTTCAGGATCTGATCCCCATCCAGAAATATTCTGACACTCCCATGAAGCTATTTTTGTAGAATGCAAAATCATTATAATGTGCTTACATTCCGGAAATCTTGTCGATTACCGCTGAGTTCATTGAAATGAAAAAGTGCTAGAACAAAGACACTGACTTAACAGATGTGGGTAGGGTTTGAGTGGCCTTTATAGTGCCTTTGACATGGTGGGATGGAGCCTGCAGTCCACGCCTGCTCAAGGGGAGTATGAACGGGTGAGCTTCCTGGCTCAGAGGAAAATTCCAGCCACAGTGCAGTCCTGGGAGAAAAGGAAATCTGTCCAGTTTCATAAAGCCAGACCCTATCTCACATGGGAACAAAACTTAAAAATTACCAGCATGCTTTACTCATTTACCTGTGGTTCTTCACTTTTCATAAGAACCAGAGTTGAACCTAGTATCTGCCTCTTGTGGTGAGGAGCTTTTGAGTCTCATTATAGGGGTAGGAGGTGAGGGAAAGAAAGCAAGAAATTTCACCTCATCCCAAACAGCACTCGAAAGGGTAAGAGAAACTATGGCCAAGTTCTGGAAGGCCCTTCCCTTTAATTAAATCCGTGATCCAACCTTGAAAGACCTCCCTGAGTTTCACGTCCCATGAACACCAGGGTGGAGAAAAATTGTCCAGGCAGAAATCTATTGGGCATGTGAATCTTTATCTTATAAGAGATACATTCAAGATTCCTTCTGGTGGTATTTCTCTCTATATTGAATTTTCTTAGTGTCTGAGGTTATTTTTAGCTGTTACTTCAGTGAGTTTCAAGGTTGCACGACCTGTTTTAACTGCCTGTGTCTCTGATTACTCCTTGCCATGACAGCATTTTCGTGTGATACTCGGGAAGGAAATGAGATCTTTTCTTCAAGGCCTTTGACTCAAAGCAGGACTCTTGCATTTTGTGACTTAACTCCAACTCAGATTACCTTCCTCTGGAAGATTTGCTTTATTTTTCTTAAACCCCCGTACAAACAGTGACTGGAACTTGACGGTTGGGAACTTGAAGGACTTTGCTTGACATTCCTTCTCCACCCACATTTTTTAGATGACTAATTCCTTTAATCCGAATCTTTAAAAAAAAATTTTTTTAAGTTTTCATCTTTGAGAAAGGATCGCACTGAAGTAAAGGGACTTAGGCCTTTTAATTTACTATTATAAAAGTCACATTGTTAAAAATGTGGGGGTAGAGGGTGGAAACTACTACCTTTTAATCTCACCCTTAGCTCATGCCACTTTGGTCTTTGCTTTCCAATCTGTGCCTTGGAATTTTTTTTTAATCATTGATTATGCATGAACTTTTTTTTATTTAGCATTATGCAAGAAGTACTTTTCTATTGTTGCATTTTGCTTAAGTGGTATAAACATATTAAGACCCCTTTGCCTGAAGCTACAGAATCCCTTTCAACTTAAAACAAAAAAGTAAAATATTATCTTATGTGTTGAGCAATTCCCTGACAGTGTTATTTCCATTCACATTGTCCCTGTGATCTGGGACCTGAAGGAGCAGTGAGTGATTCCCTTTGCTCCTCAGGCAGGTGGCGGCAGCAGTGCTCCCAGTGTCACTTGCCAGTACTCACTGCAAACCTGTGTGACGCACAGGTCATTACAGTCTTCCTGCACTTGAAGAAGGTATTTTAAAAGCCAGCCTGTAGCAGGTGCTCCCTGAGCTGCCCTTTCTTGGCTTCGTGGAGAATCAGAGGTTGTGTTCTTCCTCCTCCTGGCCATGGGGGTTGGTGGGGTTGGTCAAGAGATCTTGCCCAGACACTGCAGCAAGAACTTGCCTTGGGACTTGGCAGGAAAACCCAAACCTTCCCATATGCACTCTCCATTTGGGAGACCTGGATTCATCCCTGGGTTGGGAAGATCCCCTGGAGAAGGGAAAGGCTACCCACTCCAATATTCTGGCCTGGAAAATTCCATGAACTCTATAGTCCATGGGGTTGCAAAGAGAGACACGACTGAGTGATTTTCACTTTCACTTTTCGCCATTCTTCATACCCTGTGTTTAGGCCAGCTGGTGCCTGGGTTCCTTGGGAGTATAAGGAGCTGTGTCATGGTGATGCTTCTCCATTCTCAGTGTAGTATGGCTCTCCTCGAGGCAATAGAACCACATGAAGGCAGCTGTGTCCATGGCACTCAGAGCATTCATGTGGCTCTTCCTCACAGCCCAGTGGAAAAGCCCCTGGGAGTGGAAAGAAGTCTTGCAGGGGGCTTCCTGTACCTCCACGCTGTGTGCCAAGAAGCCCTGTGGCTGCATCCGAGCTGTGGAGTGAGCGCCCGATGTTGCTTGTCATTTTACCAAGTTCAGCAGCTTTCTAATTCTTCTAAGTTTCTTGGTTAAGGTTTTGTGCTTTAACTTTTATAAGCCTTGGTTACCCTTATGTATTGATAAAGATGGGGATTGGGTAGGTAGATGATCTCACAGGTCTAAAAATTTTCATTCTTGGTTTATTGTTGTTTGGGACAAGTTTTTCTCATGATGAGAATCTTGTTATCAGGAAATGTTCTTTGAAGCCAGTTACATGGTTTTCTGTATTTTCTTAGGTATATACATGGTCTGTCACCCAGGTATGAGTTTCCTAAAGATCAATTTTATGTTTTCCCAGTTCCTAAAATGGAGAGTTGTGCTGAGTGCCTGTTCATGGTGTTTTTTCCTAGCACCAGACTTATGAAGCTCTGTTGCCTGCATCCTGGCTCGCTGTGTGGCTGGGACAGGTGTTCTGGCTTCTTGTACCATGACTTACTCATTTGAATGCTCGACTCCCTTGTTTATTTTGTCTCCTTGACATAATCAAGAACTGTCAGCAGATTGTTTTCAGCATGTAGAGAAACCCAGAAAAGAAACTGAATTGTAAATTCTGTATTTCAAGAATTCCTTTTTTTAAAATCGTTTTTATTATCGTTATAACAGACACAGGAAGAATCGAGAGGCAGCCAGTGAGCTTCTGATGAGACTGAAGGACAACAGGGATCTTCAGAAATTCCTGCAAGACTGTCAGGAGGTACATCTCCCTTTAATGCCTCCTTTCCTCTTTTCTAACAAGAACCACCAAGCATTTGGCAGAAGAGCCCTTGGGATTGTAAAATGAACTGAGGCCAGAAATTCACATCACTCATACAATTTGCAGGTGGGGCAGCGTCAGTTCTTCAGCCTACAAGGTACCACTTAGAGGAACCAGATTATTACAGTCTAGAACTGTGCTGTTCAACACAGCAGATACTAACCACATGTGGCTGCCTCATTTTAAATGGAATTAAGACTGTAGTTGTTCTGTCACGCTGGCCGTACTTTAAGTGCTCAGTAGCCGACTGTGATTCATGGCTGCCATATTGTATGGACAGTGCAGATGTAGAACATTGCCATGGTCACAGACAGTGATATTCTCAAATATTCTATAGCCTAAAAGCATCTACTATTTAAAATAAGGCAGAGTTACTAGTAGGGAAGGAAAGAAATAAAAGAAACTGCAGTTGGCTACCCAGGTAAGAAGAAAGATTTCAAGAAATATATACAGTTTTCTTACTCTTTGAAGACCTTGAAATATCCATCCTTCAGGCTCCTCAGGTATGTGTCTGAAATGCCAAGAGCAGTAATCCTGATCTCAAACTCTTGAGTTTTAACATGTGGTATTCATCTGATGATTCTCAAACTATTTCATACTCCCCTGATATGTGCATAAACAAACTGGGAAAACTAAAGTTAGCCAGTAAAACGCAATCTCTCTGCAAGCTGGTTGGAAGAAAGCATCTAGCTGACTTCACATGCGTGAGATCACAAGCACATTGTATTTCACTATCCACCAGAGAACCATGGTGAGACTCGGTCCTCTCTGGTTTATTAGACTAAATCTCAACAGAGGCAGAAGTGGGATGAAAAATATCCAAGAGAAGCTGTAGGGATCTTGGGGAAGGGGAACTGGAGATGGAGAGGGGAGGATCAAGGTCATATGCTAAGAATACGACCAGACTCTTCACAAATCCTTTGCTTGCAAATTTGTAGCTGTGTGTTAAATATGGCTCTCATAACAGTTGAATCAGAGTTGGTGACAGAAGCAATCCTTCATGTCCATTAAACTGCTGTCTTACTGTGAATCTTAAAATGTGCTCCAGCAGCTAAACCTTATGAAGGAAGAAAAGCCCCTCAACTGTGTGCTTAGGGTCTCTTGACATTCAGGGCCACGCCGATGAATCTGGGTCCCTGGAGGGGTTTGCCTAGAACCAGACAGGCGAGGCCAGGAGTGCCTCTTCAAGTCACTCCTGAGCATGAATAACCCATTTGAATAGGATGCTCATTTAAAGAGGCATTCATGTCCCCAGACAAGACCCAGGGAAGAGTAATGGATTCAGGGTTAGCTATGTAGAGTTGCATGATGTGCTGCAGTGAATACCAAGTGGCCCTTCAGCCCTGGAGGGAGTGAAAAGTTGTCAAGAGACATTTGCAGCCTGGGCTGTGCCCTCCCCAGATTGGAGGTCCCTGAAGTACCTTTACGTTGCCCTTGAGACCCCGCCAGCATGTTTTAACCTCAGATCAGATGGGAAGGGGGTGTGCTGGGGAAACCAGTGGGACCCCATCCCTTTGCTTAAAGAACAGATTACTGAGATGAAATCCATTGACCTAAGCATGGTGAAATCTGGACTGAATTTAGGGAAAAGAATGCCAGGAAATAAGCAGGAAGTGAGGGAACAGAGGAACCTTTGAGAGAGGCTCAGTTGAAATTTCCAGCTCCTGATTTTCCATTCGCATCCATGTGGATTCATAAATAGAAACATGTGGGAAAAGTAAATAGATAAGACATAGTCCTTCCAAGTAGAATCACAGGAAATAGTTTCAGTAGATCTTTAGATCTTTGTTAATTCTTGTTCCAGATGAGCGTCCTTGGTTACAAGGAATTTACTCCCTAACACACACCAGTGACTGGTAGGCACACCCAGAGGGCTCAGCGCTGTGTGATTTCCCCTCCAAGAATGCCCAGAGGTTTTGGCCAGTCTTCTTTGTCCTGGAGATGATTTGCAGGTCTCCTTCAAACTGCTGTGCCAGGTCTCCCTGGCTTATCTATTTTTTCTTTCCTTAAACCTTGCTAAAAGTTAGTACAACCATAGGATCTGCTGGGGGTACCACATCAGCATATATAGTTTACAAATAAAGCCTAAATTTAGGTCAGGTTTGTAAAAATGTGTCAAAGTGTTAGTCATTCAGTGGTGTCCGACTCTGTGATGCTATGGACTGGAGCCTGCCCAGCAACTCTGTCCGTTTAATTCTTCAAGCAGGAATACTGGAGTGGGTAGCCACTCCCTTCTCCAGGGGTCTTCCCGATCCAGGGAGCAAACCTGAGTCTCTGCATTGCATGCAGATTCTTCACTGTTGGAGCCACCTGGGAACCCCAGAGGTTTCCACAGAGGGACGGGGCTTGGGTCAGGCTTGAGGGCTTCAAAACCCTTGGTGTAGAAGTACCAGCCAAGGGTGCTGTTATTATTGAGGAATATTCTTCTTTGTTAATATTCCATTATTTAGCCTCATTAAAACACGCCCGTTTTAAACCAGAATCTCTGAAAATGGAGTTTGTGGGTGGACTAGCCGTACATATGAAAACCTACTTCTTATTGTGTTGGTGGATATTTACAGAGCACCCAGAAGTCAGATTTAATGCTGCTGCTTGCTGTTAGTATTGTTCAAGGTCTAGGAGATCCAGATGGTCTCCTTGCCACACCCCCTTCCTGGTTGGTGGGAGGCTAGAGGAGGCTGGGTTGTAAGCTCTGCCATTGTTGCCACCCACCATGAATACTTCCTGGAGGGGAAAATTCGTTGCCCCAGTGCAGGGAGGATGAGCAGGGCCTAGCTAATCCCAGTTATAGATGGTGATGCAAAGAGCATCATGTTTTTTGTGTTGTTATTTTAATATGATACCCTGAAAAATTAGTGATTTTTAAAGCCCTACTTTTCTATTCTGTTCCCTGTCTCCATACCTCCTGTTTTCTGAAACTGATTTTTTCCTCCCCTGGAGGGCAGTATAACTAAACGTGGTGGCACCGGCATAGTGGGTTCAGCACTTTGCTTTGAGCTTAATCCAGTGATCAAAGCATTGTTCCTATCCTTTTCCAATCTGCACAGTGTTCTGTTCTGCAGAGAATGAGCATATTCTTAAATGACCTTTGTAAATGCCCACTGATAATAACTATGAGTCTGATTCCAGAATGCTGGTGGAGGTCTGATGAACTAGCACGTTCCACAGCTCCATTTCATTGTGCTGTGTCACATGCTGCTTTATCTGTAGGATGATGTGTTCAGCAAAGAGCAGATTTGTTTATAAGCCTCTGATTTTTATGTGGCTCCTTTTTTTTTTAATCTCTCTTGGGTAGGTGGTTATGAATAGAGCAAATATGTGGATGTCCTTTGCACTTTGGATCATTGCCTTTTATTATGTTTAGTGTGCACGTGTGGAATACAGGGTAGTTTTTCAATTTGCTTTCTTCTTTACATCTTTTCTCCTTAGATTGAATAGCCTTAGCCTTTAAGGCCTTAGCTACTCAGATAACTGGAAGGAAAGTAGGAAATTCAGTGCCTTGGTTGTTGTGTAATGGATCTATGGTCCTTGCTTACCAAGGGCTTTATGGGATTTGGTGTTTTTTCCTTAGTAAAGCATGACATCAAAAATCTCACTACTTTTGCTTTTGATCCCCCTCCCTCCCATACTTGGTGGTTGGTATCCTGAGAAGGGTAGGGAGGGTGCCTGGGGGTTCACCCACAGGCAGAGCTGGGGTCCTCCCGGGACCTGCATCCCCCTCCTTGACATGGTTCCCAGAGAACAGACTTTGTATTGTGGGAGCCCTCTTATGGGGAAGCCTCTCCCAGCAGCTGCCCAAAGTGCAAGGGAACGGCCTCAGAATAGTTGGTTCTGTAGGGGTTTATACACCATTTCTTTTTTTTTTCTTCCATTTATTTTTATTTGTTGGAGGCTAATTACTTTACAACATTGCAGTGGTTTTTGTCATACATTGAAATGAATTAGCCATGGATTTACATGTATTCCCCATCCCGGTCCCCCCTCCCACCTCCCTCTCCACCCCATCCCTCTGGGTCTTCCCAGTGCACCAGGCCTGAGCACTCGTCTCATGCATCCAACCTGGGCTGGTGATCTGTTTCACCCTAGATATACATGTTTCGATGCTGTTCTCTTGAAACATCCCGCCCTCGCCTTCTCCCACAGAGTCCACAAGTCTGTTCTATACATCTGAGTCTCTTTTTTCTTTTTTTGCATATAAGGTTATCGTTACCATCTTTCTAAATTCCATATATATGTGTTAGTATACTGTAATGGTCTTTATCTTTCTGGCTTACTTCGCTCTGTATAATGGGTTCCAGTTTCACCCATCTCATTAGAACTGATTCAAATGAATTCTTTTTGATGGCTGAGTAATATTCCATGGTTATACACCATTTCTAAACCCTTGGTGGTGGGACCATGACACAGTTTGGGTGCAGATTTGTTACGGCAGCAGCTGGTGTAAGAGTGACGTCTTATGGTCATGTGGAATAAGGGCACTGCCCCTGAAGACTTACTGGCTTCTGGTTCCAGGCTGACCCTGCATTTGTTTGCGTATCTTCCGACTGGGCAAACGGAAGCGCTCTCTTCCTGGTAGGAATTAGGACCCTGGTGTGGCCAACTGCCGGCAGGCAGTGGGGAGCCAGGCGAGTTGGGATGAGAGCCAGCAAGGGGAACGTGTCCAGGGCCTGGGCTAGGCTCAGATCTGTCACTGGCCAGCAGGGTCTGTGAAGAGGCTTCCCAGAGTTCAGATCCAAGCAGACACGCTAAGTCTCAGAATCCAGTCCTGTGAAGTGTTATTGATCTTAGTCAGCCCTGTGAAGTGTTCTTGGTCTTCTACAGACAGAGGCTGTAGAAGAAAAGATGAAGGTGACTGAGAAATGAAGGGAGCTGAGGGCATCATGGTTGCCTCACCCCTATAGCAAGCAAGTTCCTCATGCTGTTTGTTATCCGCATAGATAATGTCCATGAAGAAGAGGGAAGGATGAAAGAATAGGCGCTTTGGTTTCTTTTATGGTAGAACTAAAACTAAAGATTACCAAATGTAGTAAAGACAGTTAATCTTGTTTAGCTAGCCATGGGTATTTGAAGAAGAAAGGTTGTGACTTAGCTTGCTTAGGACAGAATTTTAAACACAAGTGTCTGGAGGGAAAGCCGGTTAAGAGTGCCAAACAGTTTGAAAGCTGACTCGAAGTGCTTTTTATACTTCTGGATTTAGTGTTAGATTCATAGTTTGGAGCAAGTCTCAAGTATAGCATCCATACAATGGGGATACCTGTTGTGATGGGTCAGAGTTGTAAAGTAAACGTTTGGTTGTCTGTTGACGTGGAAACATGGTGTGCGCGTAACAACATAACAGCTGTTTCCAGGCAGAAAAAAGGCTGATGTCTGTGATCACAATCTCTGAACCTGATTTTTTTCTTTCCTAGCTGTCTCTCTGGATCAATGAAAAGATGCTTACAGCCCAGGACATGTCTTATGATGAAGCCAGAAATCTGCACAGTAAATGGTTGAAGCATCAAGCCTTTATGGCAGAACTCGCTTCCAACAAAGAATGGCTTGACAAAATTGAGAAGGTGAGTCAAGGGGTTGATGGTGCTCCATCAGTGTGGCTGTGGTGAGAAAACTAACTGAGTGGAAATGAGCTCCTTTGTACTTAGCATGTTTTCCAGCGTATTTGAGTCCTATATGACCACATACGGGAGTTACACAGCCAGGAGCAGTCCCACTTTTCACCTCCCAACTCCTACCTTCAAACCAGCAAGAAAGGAGACAAGCAGAAACCCAACCAGGTGGCACAAAATGCCTGCCTTGTCTTGTAAAGAATCCTAGGAGTTGAGTTTCTGTGTGTGTCTCCTCTGCTGCACTTGATAGACTGCCAGCCCCCGGGGCAGCGTCCTCACTCTGTTGATCTATCATGTGTGCTGGACTGTGACAGACATTGAGCGGATCCACAGAACTTAGAAATACTATGTATTTTAAATTTCTCATTTTAATAATTTAAACTGTATTGTTTTGGCACAGCAGAATTCTCTGCAGCGTAACCAAACATGAATGTGACATTCTCCACCCTCCCTTCTCTTCCTTCATACACTATGTTGTTTCAAAATCTAAACAGTTTAAGTGTTAAGGTCTCTTGGGGGTGATGTGGAAGGGATGAAGTTTTAGGTTACTGGCAGTAAGTATCCCAGAGCCCCAACCATCACTTGGTGCTCCATGCCTTTGAAAACCAGTCAGGCCATTGGTGGTTTTGTCGAGCACTAATTCCATGTAGAAAGACTGCGTGCGTGCATGTGTGTATCTGTGTGTGCACATGTGTTTGTTCAGTGAATAGGTGACTCATAATTCAAATATGTCAGGCTTGTTTTTCACAGTGACACCTGTTCTGCAAACTGTATTTATGTGTGTTTTCCAGGAGGGAATGCAGCTCATTTCAGAAAAGCCAGAGACAGAAGCCGTGGTGAAGGAGAAACTCACAGGTTTACATAAAATGTGGGAAGTCCTTGAATCTACCACACAGACCAAGGCCCAGCGGCTCTTCGATGCGAACAAAGCCGAACTCTTCACCCAGAGCTGTGCAGATCTGGACAAATGGCTGCATGGCCTGGAAAGTCAGATTCAATCTGACGACTATGGCAAAGACCTCACCAGTGTCAACATCCTTTTGAAAAAGCAGCAGGCAAGTGCCAGGGCTAGCACACCCTAGGCCAGCGCACCACAAGCTGTTTCCCTGCTGTGGTCCTGGTGGTCTTAACTCGCCCACCGTGTCCTCAGACATTTGCTTGGAGCGTGAAGGGATTTTAACACACCCAGCACAGTGGGCTCTGGTGGCATCAGGGGACATTTCCAGAATCAATTTGGAAAGACATCGTAGGAGTACTGGGGTCCATGCATGGCAGTATATTTTCATTATCATCGTAGTTGACAGATAACACCACTTAACAGTTTAATAAATGTTCATTCCATCTAATTCCACAGTTTACTTGAAGAAAAGTTACCATGTTTGCATACCTCACTGTAAAATGTCTAAATATGTGATAGTTATTTGAGTGGTTCAGGGCACTTTTAGATAATAAGAGAAATTTGGGGTTTTTGCAAAACAGTAGTGTCCTTCTAAGGGCAAATTAATTTACATTGATGAGAGAAAATAGCTGTGATGAGGTTGAGCCAAGCAGGTTCGTGGCAGTAGCTTGCAGGAGCTCCCGGACCGAGTTTGCAGTGTGTGGCCAAGTGCTTCCCTAGCTAAGAGAGCAGTCAGTATATTCGCCAGCCCCTTGTCTCTGGGGACAGCAGCGTGTGGTCTTCCTCGGGTTGTGATTCCTGAGCAAGACACCTCTGCTGTGCTTTTGCCCTTTTCCCTCATGTAAATATACAGTTAGGCTGTCTTCAGCTGATTATCAAGTATTTTTAAAAAGAAGAATCAGCTTTCTGATTAAAGCAATTGAGAGGAGATGGTTAATGTTAGCTATCCTTCTGGCCTAAAAGAACTGGAAACTGAAGACCTGACTCCTTCCTGGTGATTAAGCTGGTTTTCAGTGTCGTTGTGACTTCTGAACAGGCAGATGGAGACCATCCTTTCCCCATAATTAATTCTTATTTCCCCTGTCATTTGCCTCTGAAGTTCCTAGATAAACTTGACTGTTGCTCCCAAGGTTAAAAATCCTTAGAAAGGGAGGTTTTGTTTTGTTTTGTTTTGTTTTGTTTTGTTTTGGAAAAATCAGCTGAGAAAGTGGAGCACTAGTTGCTGGCTACTAGCCATGCAGAACCATTTCTTGGGCTCTCCACTGTATCAGTTAATATTCCCAAATCTTCTGTTTTGGACAGTGCCAAAGGGGAGCATGTAAAATCACTGTCTGTGTTTCCCTTGTCTCGGGTGTGAAGGTGGGTGTGTCTTCCGCCCTCAGATGCTGGAGAATCAGATGGAGGTGCGGAAGAAGGAGATAGAAGAGCTCCAGAGCCAGGCGCAGGCCCTGAGCCAAGAGGGGAAGAGCACGGACGAGGTGGACAGCAAGCGCCTCACCGTGCAGACCAAGTTCATGGAGCTGCTGGAGCCCCTCAACGAGAGGAAGCAGAACCTGCTGGCCTCCAAGGAGATCCATCAGTTCAACCGGGACGTGGAGGACGAGATCGTGAGTGCCTCCTCACGTGGCCAACCTGCAGACCGGGTTCCCACTGCTGTACCTGACCCACCTCAGTCCCTGGGGGTGCTGAGTTGTCGCAGTCCTATACCATGTGTCCACACAGAATACACCTCTGGGTTTCTGTCTAGTTTTCTAAAGATAAATTGAGGGCTTTAATGCCCCAAAACAATCATTTTAACAACAAAGAGTAGGGACTCCTGGAGAGTCTGGCATTGTGGATAAAAGTAAGGTCTGGAAGACTAGCCTGTACCCTTCATTGGAGAAGAAGGGCAGGCTCCCTGGGCCACCCCTCTCAGTGGGGCAATTGTTTCTTTCTTCTTTTTTAAAAAACTTTTATTAAAGTATAATGGATTTACAATGCTATGTTTCTGCTGTGCAGCAAAGTGACTGACTTACAGATGTATGTGTTCTTTTCCTTTATGGTTTGTCACAGGATATCGAATGTAGTTCCCTGGGCTGCACTATAGTATCTTGTTGTTCATCCCCCACTAGGGTTGAACATGCTTCCCTCCCATACTGGCCTCCTTGCTCTCCCCTCCTGCCCTTGTCTGCATCAGATATTTGTTCTTTTTGAGTGGCCCTGACCACCTGTTTACAATTCCTTCCAGTTGTGGGTTGGTGAGAGGATGCCTTTGGCGACCTCCACGGATCATGGCCACAACCTCCAGACTGTGCAGCTGTTGATAAAGAAAAATCAGGTAAGCATGTCTGCTGGGGCCAGCTCCATGTTAGGAGGCAGAGAAGGAGGAGTTCAGAGGACGGGCAGGTTCTCCTTGGCCCCAGGGCCTGGCGCAAGCAGCCTGAAGGGGGAGCTCAGAAGACGGGCGGGTTCTCCTTGGCCCCAGGGCCTGGCACAAGCAGTGTGCTGCTGTGGCTCAGTGAGCCTTGGGTGTGTGTTTCCCAATCACATAGACCCTCCAGAAGGAGATCCAGGGGCACCAGCCTCGCATCGACGACATCTTTGAGAGGAGCCAGAACATCATCACCGACAGCAGCCTCAATGCCGAGGCCATCCGGCAAAGACTGGCTGACCTGAAGCAGCTGTGGGGCCTCCTCATCGAGGAGACTGAGAAGCGGCACCGGCGGCTGGAGGAGGCGCACAGGGCCCAGCAGTACTACTTTGACGCGGCTGAGGCCGAGGCCTGGATGAGCGAGCAGGAGCTATACATGATGTCCGAGGAGAAGGCCAAGGTGAGGACAGAGGCTGAGCCCACCCCCCCCAACCCCGTTCCTGCGCCCGGGGAGCCTCTGGCTCAGACCAGAAGCTTGTGCTGCTGGGGGTGGCTTCCTTGTGCAACATCTGACTGTTGCCTTGTTTACGGGGGCAGCGCGGTGCATATAGGTGACTGGAACCTGGCTATTTGCCCCTTGGTACAGAATTTTCTTCTCTGAATCATGATATCTGTCTGCTCTCCCCTTTTTTAAATAGAAATTTGCCAAAGTCTTTCTTTTACAATATACTAGATGTTTTTGAGACAGTTTAAAAGTACTTGAAAGTACTCTGACCAGAATGCTATCATCTACATCTGTTAGACATGGAGAGTTTTTCCAGCCAGGACACACTTGGTTTGCCTGGGCTTTGCCTCATATGTTGGAGGGTCCTCGTCACTGTGCGTCACTCTTATGGCCATCTTTCAGAGGCTCCCACGGCCCAGTCCACCTTGCCACTCTTGAAACGCTTCATACTGCACTGCCCATGTTGCACTTGTGGCGCTTTTTCTTTCTACTGTCTTCCTCCCGCCCCCCTGTGCTGTGCAGTCAGCCGGTCCCGCTTTCAGGTAGTTTGGATTTGGGGGTGGGGGGCAGCTGTGGGTGTGACAGTCCCCTGTCTGTACAGGATGAGCAGAGCGCCGTCTCCATGTTGAAGAAGCACCAGATTCTGGAACAAGCTGTGGAGGACTACGCGGAGACGGTGCACCAGCTCTCCAAGACCAGCCGGGCTCTGGTGGCCGACAGCCATCCTGAAAGGTGCGTGCCGCTGCATCAGCATGAGACTGGCCTGGCAGTTCCTCCTGGTCAGGGCCTCCTGCATGAGTCTTTGAGAAGCATTTTTAAAACAGACCCAATAGGCCTGTGCTGAACAGGAAGGGTGAACCTGTTAATATTACAGGCGCTTGCTCTCATGGGATAACTATCTCCTGCTGGCTAAGCCCTATTGAGAGATTATTGGTGTCGTGAGTCAGGGGTGCAGATGCATGGGTACAGGGTGATCAGAGCACCTGCGCTTGGGTTTAGAAGTGTTGTAGTAGAGCAGTGTCTGTGTGCTTAGTCACTCAGTCGTGTCTAACTCTTTGCAACCTCATGGACTGTAGCCAGCCAGGCTCCATGGGATTCTTCAGGCAAGAATACTGGAGTGGGTTGACATTCCCTTCTCCAGGAGATCTTCCCGACCCAGGGATTGAACCCAGGTCTCCTGCATTGCAGGCAGAGTCTTTACTGTGTAAGCCACTAGGGAATCCCATTGTGGAGCGATGGATAAGGACATGTGGACCTGTGAAATAATGAGAGCTTCCAAGAGAACAAAATGATGCCACTCTTAACTCTTATACTTTGAGTCTTGATAATGCCTCAGAAATAAGAAAAAAGAGTGTGTGGCACCCTGCCCTGTTTCATACCAAACTGACACACTCACTGCAGTGGTCGTCATTTTAGGCTTTCTCTGTAACTGCCTTTTGTGTCTCAGACAGACAAGGATCAGCTTTGGGCATTAACCAAGGCAAGTTGGAGGACAGTCCTTGGCTGTATTGGGATGGGGCCCTTTCAGGAAGTTGGCCGTCCTCATCTGCAAGGCTGGGCATCGAGTCCTTGTCTGACTGCTTACCTGCTGGAAGGCTGTCCATCTGAGAAAAGTTAGAAGCAGGGTGGCGGGGTGGATGCTGCTCCCCCAGGACCCAGGAAATGGGAGCAACAGGGCCCGCCTTCCTGGAAGGAAAGAGCATACAGCCCAGAGATGGTCAAATGCTTGCAGACGGGGATGTCTTCTGTCCCTTTGGCAATGTGGCCCCTGAGAACAGAGGATGGCTCCCTCTTCCGAGGCTAATAATTTTTTAACATCAAAGGAAATCCTGACCGTCAGAGCCATCAGTGCAGAGCATTTCGATTTCTGTCCCCTCCCTCTCATCACAATCAGGGTGGCCTTTGTCCTTAATGACTGTGTTTTGTTATATGTTGGCGTTCCATTACCTGAAGTTGAGGTCAAAGTTGACTTTTATTTTTGGGGCTAACTCAGTTAACCTTCAGATTCCTTTGAGAAATTTTGTATAATGTGACCTCCTGGCATTTGCCCTCATTTGCTGTCTCCCTGAAGAAAATGGGGCATTTAAGGCTCACCCACACCTAACCCCGTCTCACTCCCCTCAGTGAACGTATCAGCATGCGGCAGTCCAAGGTGGACAAGCTGTACGCCGGCCTCAAGGACCTGGCTGAGGAGAGGCGGGGCAAGCTGGACGAGAGACACCGGCTGTTCCAGCTCAACCGCGAGGTGGATGACCTGGAGCAGTGGATCGCCGAGAGGGAGGTGGTCGCGGGGTCGCATGAGCTGGGCCAGGACTACGAGCACGTCACGGCAAGTAACACAAGCAGAGCTCGGGTGGGCCTGTGGCACGTGGCAAACTGTGGGAAGCCCTTCTCATTCCCTGTCTGTGAGCAGAGGAAACACCCCAGACTCGAGTCAGAGGTCATGGGGTTTCATTTCAACTGGTCGCTTTTGTCATCGAGCAACTTGGAAGTTGTCATGTTTGAATCTCTGTGCCCATTCCTCTGGTCAGAGGCGGTGGAGCTGTGCTTGTCTCTGCTGCCATGAGTGAGAAGGAAGTCTGATTGACATGAGGCTTTGGATCTGACATCTGTTAAATCAGGTGTTTTTTCCCCAAAGGGTGTTCAAGTGATCAGTAAATGAAGTGTTCATGGTGATCTCACTGGTTTCTTTATGCTCACCCCTGTTTCAGATGCTCCAAGAGCGATTCCGAGAGTTCGCCCGGGACACGGGAAACATTGGGCAGGAACGCGTGGACACAGTCAACCACATGGCAGACGAGCTCATCAACTCCGGACATTCAGATGCCGCTACTATCGCCGAGTGGAAGGATGGGCTCAACGAGGCCTGGGCTGACCTCCTGGAGCTCATCGACACTCGAACACAGATCCTCGCTGCCTCCTATGAACTGCACAAGTTTTACCACGACGCCAAGGAGATCTTTGGGCGCATCCAGGACAAACACAAGAAACTCCCCGAGGAGCTCGGGAGAGATCAGAACACAGTGGAGACCTTACAGAGAATGCACACCACCTTTGAGCATGACATCCAGGCCCTGGGCACTCAGGTAGGCAGGGCGCCACCCCTGGCTGGTGGGAGGTTCTCTTTCCATATAGCATCTTTGTGCCCCTCTCAGCATCTCTCTCCACTCCTTGGCTCCTCAAGCATGCCTCAGAGAGTGGCCCAAATTAAATGCATATGCGTGTGCACGCACACACATTAGACATTGTTGTAGCACTCCATTTAGGAGAACTTACCAGTCCGTAGTGCTCTCTGTCCCATTTGCAGACACTGTCAGATATCTATCCTCCATGATTAAGATAGTAAAGCAGCTGCACACACACATTTACAGGTTACGGACCTTCTCAACAAAAATTTGAATTCTGTTGGCATGTCCATCCAGAGTCAGCTTCCTAGGTGAAATTAGTGGTAAAGAACCCACCTGCCAATGCAGGAGACATAGGAGACATGGGTTCAATCCCTGGGTCGGAAGATTCCCTGGAGAAGGGCATGGCAACCCCCTCCAGTGTTCTTGCCTGGAAAATTCCACGAACCGAGGAGCCTGGCAGGCTACAGTCCATAGGGTCACAAAGAGTCGGACACGACTGATCATATCCATCTATAATAATTTCCAAAATGATACCTTATTACTTTGCATCAACCAGAGTCTGAGTTATGTATCAGAGAATAGAGAAGATTCTAACATTTTAGTGTGCCTGGTCCTTTCACCTCTCATAGAGTAGTTAACACTCAGGTTTTGTTTAAAAGATTTCTGATAAAGTGATAACAATATAACAGCAAGGGTCTGTAGTGTAATCACTTTCTAGTTCATACACTCATTTCTACAGTTTCCTGCTCAGTCTTATATCTGTTAGATGAAAAATACTAGCAGCAGGTCTTTCCTCTGCACCTATAAAATCATTTGCTTTTAGAACTTCAAGAGACTCCAGAAATGGGGAGTTGCTCTCTCATTGTTTCATTAAATTCCTTCACCATATGGGGCTCAGAGAGATGAGGGAGCCCACTGCGAGTCCAGGAACACCCAGGGCAGGAATCTACCCTGTCAAGCCTGATAGTGTACACCTCTCCATACCCAGTGGGCCAGGCCATTTCAGCCACAGAAGTGTGTGTGCCCCACCCCTTGTACACTAACAGCAGAACCTGTGAAGGGAGGGCTTGTGGGTGGACTCCAGAAGCCAGCAGAGTTTGGGGCCCTCTGACCCGCCACCATCCTCCATTCTGCAGGGGAGCAGAGGACGATAAATAACCTTACATGTATATCATTTCCTCAAAGTGTAAAAGTATATGTAGGATAAATTCTGCCAAGTGGAATCATAAAATCAAAAGGCACACACGTTTGTGGTTCTGGTGGGTCCTGCCTGTGCCTTGTGTAGGAGCTGTAAGCCGTTCTTCCCGCCAGCAGTGAGTCAGCTCACTGGCATAGACATCCTGAAGCTTCCATTTTTGCCAAATGAGAGATGACAAATTACAGTATCTCCGTGTAGCATCTTCTCATAAGACTCATTTTCATTCTTGTTCCCCAAAGCTTCATGTTGAAATTTGACTGTTAAGACTTTTTCTTCTTTGGCATCAGTTTTTTTTTTTCCAACTACGTTGAATGTGGCATTTTTGTTACTATAGTTGGAATATTCTGTTGTGGGAGCTCTTACAGGTGATATGTGTGTACTGTTTCCAGCAGCAACATCACATAGCAATGGAAAAGGTGTTTTCAAAATGAGTTGTTCTTAGCAGTGTCTCATTTGTGATCAAGAACACCTTCTATACCATGCAGGAGCAAATTAGGTATTTATTTTTGGTGGTATGTGAAAGCGTACCATGTGTTTCTGTACCAACTTCACCTGCCGGGCCACCTGCAAGGACTTTTCCTGACCAGGGCTCCTGTCACTGTGAAAGGGGGACAGTATACAGAGAGAATGGGTGGTGGTGCTGGTAGTCCAGAAGCCCAACTCTGACCTGGCTCATCTCCCGGTGGTTCCGCAGGTGCGGCAGCTTCAGGAAGACGCGGCCCGCCTCCAGGCAGCCTACGCAGGCGACAAGGCCGACGACATCCAGAAACGGGAGAATGAGGTGCTGGAAGCCTGGAAGGCCCTGCTGGACGCCTGCGAGGGCCGCAGGGTGCGGTTGGTGGACACGGGAGACAAGTTCCGCTTCTTCAGCATGGTGCGCGACCTCATGCTATGGATGGAGGATGTCATCCGGCAGATCGAAGCCCAGGAGAAGCCCCGGTAACGCTGCCTGCCTCCCTGACCAGGGCCTTGCCCCAGAGCTTCCTGGCCAGAGGAGGGGCGGGAAATGGTCTGGGGGGCGAGTGGGGCGCCATTGTTTCACCCAGTTGACACAGTTGTCAGGGAGGAAGGAGTCCAGTGTCATCAGGAGCCCTGTGGAGCCCTCCCTGGTTCTCCCCCACCCTGTCCCCAGGGTCCACGCTTACCCAGGCCCTCCCACCCTCGTCTGTGGGCCTCATGCTTCACAGCAGCCATGGATCTTGGAGCTGATTAGTGAATGTTACCCCTGGAACAAGATGGGTTTTCTGTGTCTGTTAGGTTAAAAGAATACTCTGTCCCTTCTTATGCACATTACTAAAGGTGCCTCCAACCCTCCACATCTGCTTTAATGGGGTCCTGGCATTTGTATTTAGTGTTTGTCCTTTATCTTCTTTTTGGCCGTGTTTCATGCAGAGCAGTGAAAAGAAGCTCATAGGTGAACAGGCAGGCACATCCACAACCTCCTGTTCGCCCCTGCCGGCTCCAGCCCCCACCATAATTGAGAAAGGGACTGTGCCCCAAGAGGAAAAATATGGTTATTACATGTATGAAGCTGTTATGTTTCCTTTGGTCATGACTTCCCAGTCAGTAGGTTTTGATGGATGAGAAGTCTTCATGGTGTCATTGATTTCTTGGCTGGTTTCTGCTCTGTGTCTTCATGTCTAAATAAGGAGACAGTATTTACTGTTCTTTGAAACATGTCCTGAACCTTTGGCAGCTTAGTAGGGCATGATTGGGGATGGCTGTTACTCCTCTGAACCTTCTTGAAGAGGATGAACTGGATTTTAAAGTAGAAGTTTGAACAGAGATCCAGTGGGGTTTTTCTGGTCACCATTGAGAAGAATGACTATAGCACAAACACATGCAAAGAAAAGTGGGCAGGCTGCAAAGCTGGCCCTGAAATATTCTTTCTTTATGCTGCAGCTCTGTGACCCAACCTGGGCTCAGACTGAATCAGACACCGTGCTGTCAGTTTCCGTCAGAGTAATTACGTGTTTAGAAACCTGCATGAGCATTTGAAAAGCTAAGTCTCATAAAGAAGTATTATTTGTATAATTTTAGGGATGTGTCATCTGTTGAGCTATTGATGAATAATCATCAAGGTATCAAAGCTGAAATCGATGCTCGTAATGACAGTTTTACGACCTGCATTGAACTGGGGAAATCCCTGCTGGCGAGGAAGCACTACGCATCTGAGGAGGTATGTGCTGCTTTGCTTCGGGGCCCAGGGGTGAGTGCAGCTGGTGTTCAGATGTAGAATGCCTCTCTTGGGTGTGTATGTATGTATTGTACGTATGTATGTGTATGCATATATATTTACACACACACAGAAATCTGTGTTTGCATTCATACATACCTAAGTACATGCTTACATGTATTTCAAAACTGCTTGCTTCTTTCTAGAATAAGGCATTTAGGCAAGACTGTAGGCCTAAAACCAATCAATTTGTGGTTTACTCTCACCTCCTCCATTGGTCCTCCGCATGGGTGACACCCCTTCTCTATCCCCTATGCCCTAGATCAGTTTGCTCCTTAGTGCATGGTCGCTGAGTCAAGTTAGGATGCTGGTGATACTGAGGTAAGTGGCTGTCAGCGTGAGGCCCCCTTCTAGGGCTCAGATGTGCCCTCAGAGAGCTTGGGGCTTGGCCTTCTCACTGCCCCTCTCTTCCTGCATGTGTGCAACCCAGGAGCCCCAGAGTCCAGAGAGGGCTTACAGCCTTGTTGGCCACCTCGCAACAGAGCAACTTTGGGTGGAGCTTGGCCTTCCTCCCAGCCCCCTCTGGAAGGCACATCGCCATGCTTTTCTCTCCTCTCCTGGCACACAGGTGGACTGAGTGGTCCTCACATCTTTCCTGCCTTAGTGGTGCTCTCTCTGTAAAATGTGTTTTTCCTACATAAAGTGGCCCATCAAGGGGCAGACTAGGAGGATGTGGTCCAGTCTATTAAGATGTTCCTGGGGTCCTTCTTTTCTCACAGATCAAGGAGAAGTTACTGCAGTTGACGGAAAAGAGAAAAGAAATGATTGACAAGTGGGAAGACCGATGGGAGTGGTTAAGACTGAGTAAGGATATACTGAATCTCTGCTCTTTCTGGGTCCCCACTGAAAGCAAGCGACTTTATTTACCTGCTTTAATTGGTTTGATACAGTGTTATCTCTTACTGATTTTTGGACCCTTTCTGAATGCTTGTTTGTTAATATCTTATTTAACTCTTTCATGCTAATAAGTATTTTTAAGTGGTTCTCTGTGTCACCTTCATTATCTTTCATGCCCATGATTGCCCTCAGTGCTGTGAGTGGTATCTAGGTGTGTAGGAACAGCCCACAGGATGTGCATCCCTTCCTACCCCCCCTCAGTTATCTTTAGGAAGACTTGTTAACTGCAGAGTCAAGAAGATGGAAAGTTGGCTTGGTTAGGTCTTAATGAAAGCTAACAATAATAAAGAATTTTCAGTGAAGCAGGCATTATTCTAAGTATTCTATATGTTTTTTCTTTATTTACACAATAATCTTCTGAAGTAGGTTCTATTTTTAGTCTCATTTTATAAGAGAATATGTGAGCTAACAGAATTTATAACATACAGTATTGGGAGTAGTATTTATGAACACCAAAGGTAGTCCCAACTGAAGCATTATTTACCGTATTCTGCCATTCTGTGCTTGGGGCTCCAGAGTCTGTCTTTATAGCCTTATTCTCAGGTATCAGAAGTGCTTTCTAGAAGCAGAACCCAAGGGTCCTTTTCTTAAAAATGTTAGGCCTCATTTCTTGAGCGCCTCATCTCAAGAAGTCCCACTCTTGACCATTCTCTGGGTGAGAATTTGGTCTTAATTTTGCCCATTCCCTGGGCAGGTTCATTTCAGTTCAGCAAAGCCCAGAGTATACCCCACACTGTGAACTAGACACCAGGTTGTGTGCTGAGCAATCCTGATGAGGTGAAAAGTCCCTCGTGTGGTGCAGTGTTGGGGGCCACCACGGTGACACCGATGCTGCCCACAGTCTTTTTCTTACACTGCTGCTTAATGTGTAATGAAAGTGCCAGCCAGCCATAGTACAGACGGAGCAGGCTCTGACCTGCCTTCTCACAGTGCAGTAGTTGGAGGGCACGCTGTGTTTTCTCGAGTGGAGGACAGAATGAATAAAGCAGAATCCTTTTAGCCCATACCATCCCCGCTTTATATAGGGCTCCCAGACCCTTCCCTCCCTTTCAACCCCCAAAGTAAAACATAGCACTTCCAACCCAGAAAGTGTGATCGGTGGATGGATGCTCCATCAGGGGATCTGGTTGGACACAGGTTGTGAATTCCTGCAGGGCCCCAAGGCTCACTTCACTATAGTAGGGCTGAGTGAGCAGAGCATATATTCTGGTCCTACATGCTCTTGTGGCAGCCACTGTTCTCTTGGGGCTCTTTAGAACCTGTACTGTGCTGGTCCAAATTGAGATATGCTCCAAGTATAAAATTTCAAATACAGAAGAAAGAAGATGTAACACAGCTCAGTAGTCTTTCATTTTTTTTTTTTTTTACTGATTACATGTTGAAGTAGCACTTTGATATATCAGGTTGTCTAAAATGTGCTTCTAAAATTAATTTCACCTGTTTTTAATGTGGCTAGTAGAAGTTACATGTGTAGCTCCCCTGATGTTTATGTGGACAGAGCAGGTCTGGACTAGACTAGGCAGCTTGTGCAGGCCGCTGCCACTAGAGGGCAGCACTACCCCCGGCTGCCCAGTCTCCTGCCCACAATACTCACTCGGTTCTCCGTGTGCAGTCTTGGAGGTCCATCAGTTCTCAAGGGATGCCAGTGTGGCCGAGGCCTGGCTGCTCGGGCAGGAGCCCTACCTGTCCAGCCGAGAGATAGGCCAGAGCGTGGACGAGGTGGAAAAGCTCATCAAGCGCCATGAGGCTTTTGAAAAGTCTGCAGCGACCTGGGACGAGAGGTTCTCTGCCCTGGAAAGACTGACGACGGTGAGTGACCACTGGGAGCCGGGGTGCTCTGTGGTGGTTCCCATGGGAAGCTCTGCTTCCCACTCAACTAGACCTGGGAGTTCATGTCATTGCTCTGTCCTTAAAAGCATGAAGCGTCTTCCTGGACTTGGTGTTCCTCCTGGTACAGGACCTGGGGAGACAGCCCAGGGTGACTGCTCCTCAGTCACTTCCTCAGTCACGGGCACAGAGATCCATGATCACTTCCTGTCTGGGCATTGATTGATTAGCGTTTGCTTTCCTCTTTTGATCTGTTCTTTTTCCCCTATATCTCATAGAAGCTGTGGTTCCTAGGGATCATAGCTGTACAGTTATCTTCAGATTTCAGAATTGGAATTCCCATCAAGCAGGAGTAGCTTATCCTAGACCACCAGGCTCTCCCCAGTCCTGATGATCTCTTCTGCCAAAATAAAGGCTTTAGAATAGGACTTGCTCACTGGTGATCTCTCTCCCAAGACACTTGCACTACCGGTAGAAAGGTGATTCTTTATGCTGTACAGAAATGGTATTCTTCTTAGAATTCTGGGCTTCTCAGCTATACCTGTATACTTTTGTGCTAAAATGGGATACTGTGGTACTCACATACTTCTCATGAAGTATGGGTTAGTTTCAGTTGAACTAGTTGGTGGCTTTTTAAAATGTGTTATTGGGGTTTAGCTAAACCCAATCCCCACAGCAGCATAAGAAGCCTCGTTGGGAGTTACTGCAGCTCTGACTTAGTGGTGTTTGAGCTCTGATGGGAAGTCCGGCATGGACCTTCCCACTCAGCTGCTTTCTTCCTCAGTGAATTCAAGGGCTGCAGAGTTCATGTAGCAATTAAACTCAATGTCCCAGGGCCACACACAACTCCCAGGGATTCTGCCAGCCCATACAGTGGATCTGCTTCATCATGCAGACCTTGGTTTCCTGTGGCTTGGAGTTGTAGCCTCAGTTCCTATGACCTGAATGAGCTTTTGGTTAGGATGTCAAAGCTCCAGGTCGTCCTGTGATCCAGTGTAGAACACACAAATAGGGCTCACCTGGAACCCTTTCCTTAAAAGAGGCAGAGTTTGGGGCTCTGCCAGACATCACGGTATTCTTCCTTAGTTGGAGCTACTGGAAGTGCGCAGACAGCAAGAGGAAGAGGAGAGGAAGAGGCGGCCGCCCTCCCCCGAGCCGAGCACGAAGGTTTCCGAGGAGACTGAGTCCCAGCAGCAGTGGTGAGTCACAGGCAGCCTGCCTGCCCGCACCCAGCTTTAGTGACAAGTGGGGTTTAGGGCGCACGTTTCTAAGCCTGTGCTGTGCTGTGCCCTTTCTGTCAGTCATTCTGCAGACAATGTGGACCCCATACAGTCACATTTGAGGACACTGACTTGTCCATAGTTACATTGCTGGGTTGGCAGAGAAAGTGGAATGTAGACAGCACTCTCTGCTGTGCACACGTGTGAACACACACACACACACACAACTTCCCCAGGAGTAAATGGATGGAGTGAACCACCCGGATTTCAGGCCAGTGACTGCATGGTGAGGCATTCTGAACGTTCTGGGTGATTTCAAACAAAGGGAAGAAACTATTCTCTTGTTTCAGAAAGGCTGAGTATTTTGCTGTGGTTAAAGCTCCATGACAACTAATGGCACCTCTGTGGGCACTGATGCCTAAGGTCTCACTGTCTATCTAGAGTCCATTTGAAACACTTGAAAATCTTTAGAAAGAAATCCCATTATGTGAAAGAGGGCTGTTTATGTTTTTCTGAGAGAGAGGCTCTAATAAAGTTGACCTGTGTTCTCCCCCATCCTGCCTTGCTCTTCTCTTTCTCCTCTTTTCTTCTTCCCCCCTTACCTTCCCTCCTTCCCCCTTTCCTCCTCTCCTCTCCCCCTTTTTCCCAACAGGGATACTTCAAAAGGAGAGCAAGTTTCCCAGAATGGTTTGCCGGCTGAACAGGGATCTCCACGGGTTAGTTACCGCTCTCAAACCTACCAAAACTACAAAAACTTTAATAGCAGACGGACAGCCAGTGACCAGCCGTGGTCTGGACTGTGAAGTTCGCTACTGTTTGTCAAGAACCAGTCTTTCCAAATCCCATTGGTTTGACCTTTTGGCGTCCACTTCACCCACAGTGTTAAAAATTTTACTGACTTCGTAGTCTTCCTTGATTTTATATTTGTTTGCACTTAGTTCATGTTTATTTGAGTCTTTTAACTGATGGATGCTCCATTGCCTGAAAGCAACCCACGTAATTTTTGTTTATTTATCATGAGCTTTTTACTTTATTAAGATGTTGCAGCAAAAGCCTTACGTGAGTAATTGAAATTAAATGAGATTACAGCAAAATGAAGAAGAAAACTAGAATCTGACAGGTATGGCACATCCAGTTGTACTAACAGGGTGCAGTCCTGCACCATACGTAGCTCCCTTCACAGATGTTATTAACCTGCGGCAGTTCACCAGGAACTAGGAAGACTGGTGGATGAGGAGGGAGACCTCCAGTACTAAGATTGAAACCTAAGGTCAGCTGTGTAACATTCCATGAAGGATGCAGTCATTTATCAAGAAACAATAGAAAAGAGTTGAAGCTGTTGTAGGTGCAGAATCTGAATGGTTTTGAGACCCTCGGATCATTTATGACCTTTTTACAAACCAGTTCCTCTATTTTTTTCGCCAACTCCTGAGCTGAGAGTGGTAGGCTCGCTTACAGCTCATTAACACAGCTGGCCTCAGGAGTCAGGTGCCTCCACCTCCATCTGGGTCACCGTCAGTGCTGCTGGGGCGTGGATCCTGTTAGGTGAGGCAGCACTTCTTGGCATGTTTGGGAAGCCTGCCCATCCAGACTTCCATGCCTTTCCGTCCAGTTGATGACTTCAGGGTGTCAAACTGTTTAAATTTTTCCAACCAGTGGAACAAAAGCCATGCTGGTTCACCCTGATTACTTGAACACTTGGGAGACCACCCCAGGAGCCATTGCCTGCCTTCAGGCTCCAGAAGTTCTTTCAGTGTCTCTTTAGACAGAAATTCCGTTGTATGTCTCGTATGGATCTTCCAGTTCATTTTTCATTTTCTTATGACTTTTTGTGGCACTCTCTAATAAGGAATCTTTTAGGGTATTGTTTATCAGACCACCAGCAGGGATCGAAATGTTTTATCAGAAATTCTATTCCTTAGGAATAAAAGCTAAAGAAAGAGATGATTTTCTGGTACCGATAAAGGCAGAACCAAAGCAGGTCCACATTACATGAAAGCTGTGTGAGACATTCACTTACTCATTTGCCATATTTAGATATTAGTGGAATCATAAAACCTGTTTTGATATGTGTTCTCCATGAGTTAAGTCTAATTTGTCTTTTCATTTCATGATGCATGTCTTTTTTTTCTTTTGTCAGGATAACATCATATAGCATCTTGTTTGTTTTTTCCTTATTTCTATGTACATATCTATCTACTTGCGGCTGTAGATGGGTATATAGATAGATGCCAAGCTTCTTATGTTCTGGGAGTAGTATGCACCATTGTTGGGTCTCTGCCTTAAAACATACCAAAATTCATTTTAGAAAAAAATATTGCTTCATCTTTGGTCATTAGGGAGCCCAGTTCCTGGCTCCAAATAGTATGTGTCATTGATCTCTATGTATATATGTGATGTGTCCATATATATATGTTTAAATTTTGTATCAGTAGGATTAATACCCAATTTTATGCCTTTTGTATTCAGAAGACCAAAAAAAAAAAACAGAAGCCACATAAGCATAGAGAGGAGTACTATGATGTTTCTGGCATTTGTTCTCATGCCTATTTTTAATCTAGATTTTTAAATTGTAGCTTGCCAGAACAAATTTTTAGTTGTAATTGGATTGTATCAGAAGAAGAAAAGCTCTTTTCATTCTTCTGAGTTATAGTGCAGAGACTCAAGTTAATGAACTTTTGACAATAGTGTTGCTTCATGCACTTAGAAAACCAATCAGGCATTCCATGTGCTACTAGTTGTCACGTTGCATTTATGTTCACCTTCTGATTGAACTATCTCAGGTGTATCCGGCCACTAAAGCACTCTGGACTAATTGCTAAAGAGAAGCAATGTCAGGTGGGGGTGGGGGGGATCCACAGGTACCCACTGTTTGGTCACAGCACTATGATTTGCTTTTGATGTTTGTCTCTAGTTGCGTGTTGTCTGTTGGCATGCTTAAGCACATGTCCATTAAAATTCATTTTGTTCCTTTTATTTTCCTTGTTTTCTTGGTTAGTGATTCATTTGCATAAACATTAATTATCTCTGCATACTGGTTTGGGGTTTTCTCTTTCCTTCTAACTCTAAAGAAAAAAATTTTTGCTGCAGAATTTCCCCCAGCTGAGGCTTCCCCTGGCCTTCACTTGCCTTGGAGTCTGACCGAGTATGAGAAATTTTAGCCTTTTCCCAGTGAACATTCCGCTGTCCGGGTCATTGCTGTCACTTGCAGTTTCTGAGTCACACCTGCAGCACTAATTTTTTTTTAACCTGGTTTCTGTCCACACTAACCCCATGTCTCCTTGGACTCACGCCTGACACAGGCCTTCCAGACCAGTCGCATACTTCTTCCCGCTAGAAGTCTCTTGAAATCTCACACCAAAACAGATTAGTCAACCTTAAAGTCCACTCACTTTCTTTCGACTCAGGGGTGGTTTATTGTTTGGTCATTATCTCCCCTCTGTCTCTCCTTTAAAAGTGAAAGGCAAGAGAGATATTTAAATATCCCATTGCTTATAAGCACATGTCTGCAGGCTGTCACTTGCAAGGCCAGGATAATCACCATGCATCTCGCCCATGCCTCTCCTCCCTCATGATCCTGTTTCCACATTGCTGTGTGGATAAAGAGGTCTAATCACAAACACCCTTCCAGTGCCTCGCCTCTGGTCCCACCCTAAACTCCAATGCTGACAGTGATAGTTTGTTTAGACAGAATATAAACTTGACTCCTGCCCCATTACTTAGGTAAGATCCAGCAGAGACATCCAGTTCCCAAGAATTGACATATCTGATGTTCAAGCAGTGGTGGCCAGTCTCCCATTGATCCTGTTGAGGTTGTTGCTGCTAATTTGGTGTCACTTGGTTCTGGGCAGCAGTGGCGGGGGACATTACCTAATGAGCGTGCCATTGACACCTCCATGTTTGTCCGTGTATGAGGGGTGCAGGTTGTCTGTAATCCACTAAAGCGTCAGCCACACCCAGCTTTAGTAACTCGCTAATCCCGCACCCTGGGTGTGTCAGCCAGGGGCCCGCTACAGTTCATGGTACACAGTTCATGGCACACAGGCTGAAAGCGATAATGAATGGAGAGACCCTACCGCATTTCCCAAGCCGAAAAGCCGTGAGGGTTACCATAGCAATGAGCTTGGGAAGAAACAACTCCCGAAGACGACTCCAGCCTGAAGGGTCAGAGCTGCTGGAAGCCTGGCTGGCTGGGCTTCCTCGTCTCAGTGCAGCAAGGCACCGTGATCAACCAGCACGTGATGGGGAAGGCCCTGGTTCTGTCTTTGTTTGGGGGTAAATAGCCGTGTGGTGTTGAGTGACTGTGATTGGCTTTTCCAGCTCCTTTAACACAAACTACAACCCACTCACGATACAACTTCGGCAGACGTGGTTACATTGATGTTCGTTGACTTGCCTCATTTCCTTCCAGCTCTTAAGTTCCAAAGTCTAACGGGGATGGTAGACATGAAGTGCATGATTGCTGTCTTAATTTCTGCATGTGTTTATGACCACGTGTCGGGGGTGGGCAGGGAGGGGAGCCAGAGAGCATTTTCAGAAACTGAAGGTCTTTTTTGTCTGACTCTGGGGGAATGCCGTGTAGCTCTGATAGAGTTGTCTATCCATCTGTTTGTGAATGCCCTTTCGCTTCAACTTCCAGCCCTTCTGGTGGCGTCCTTGGTTGTAAGGTGGCTGCTGTATAACGTCCGCTCTTTCATATTTAATATGTGTGATTGTTACTGTTGTCCTTTTGTTTTAACGTAACCATAAGAGGAAATGATCTGAGTTCTATTAGAGAAAATGGATTGATCAGAGGAGCAGAGTGCAGTAAAACTCATCCTGGCATTTCGCTTTTCTCATCTCCCCGTAAACGGGCGGGTATTAATCCACCCCCACCTTCTAATGTCCTTGGTGTCCAGCTGGCTTTGTGGGATGTGCAATGGTTTTACTGTACTGCCTCGATCTGTGCCAGGCATTTATACACAGCCACGTGTGCGAGTCAGAGCGTATGTGGTCCCCCCCCAGGGCTCATGGGGTTAGCTGAATGGCCTCTCCACTGTCCCTAGATGGCAGAAACGGTGGACACCAGCGAAATGGTCAACGGCGCTGCAGAACAGAGGACGAGCTCGAAAGAGTCCAGCCCCATCCCCTCCCCGACCTCCGATCGCAAAGCCAAGACTGCTCTCCCAGCCCAGAGTGCCGCCACCTTGCCAGCCAGGACCCAGGAGATGCCCTCGGCCCAGATGGAAGGCTTCCTGAACCGAAAGCACGAGTGGGAGGCCCACAATAAGAAGGCCTCGAGCAGGTAACAGGGCAGAGGCCGTGGTCCTGGGGGAAGTCAGCCCGTCAGAGGCGGAGGTGGATGGCTCTCGATTGAGAGGGGAGTGTGTGTGTGTGTGTCTGGTTGGTTCTGTAGCTTCTTGGTCATCACATCCTTCTTGGGAAGTGGGAGTAGAGTGCTTTTTATTCACCGAGACAAGGAAGAGTTAAGTGTGTGAGAGAACAGCGAGAAGAGGCCTTAGTAGGCCTGAGAAGGAAGGCCACTAGAGAGGGAGGAGTCTTCCCTAGAGTGAAGTGATTTCACTGCTATTTTTCCTCCTTGTGGGTTAAGTGGGTTGCTTAATGTGAGTTGTTTAAGTCACCTTTTCTCCTAGCAGTCTCTATACTGATTATCTCCCAATAGCCCTACTTTTATTATGTTCATTTTACAGATGAAGAAACTGAGGCTCTGGGAGGTTAAGAAGGCTCACCCTGTGTAATACCCTAGTAAATGGCACAGCTAGCACACCCTAGTAAAACTTACCTGACTCCACAGCCTGTGTGCTTAACCAGTAAACTAAACTGCCTGGGACCCACCACGTACAGTTGTACAGGTTGTACACTGTACAAGGGAATCCCATCTAAGAGCTGCCATCCACATTGAGAACAGTATAATTTATTTGTTAATACAGGAAGGTAGCAGTAAAGTGTCTTCTAATAAAAGCAGTATATTAGGGCAATTTGCCATATCCTGAAAGGAGGAAGGCTACCTGTTTCTGATTCAGCCAGTGTACCATAAGTGCTCATGGCCCTGAATCTGCTTTGCTATCAGGTTGCCAGGCCACATTACAGAAAGATGCTGAGATTGAAGAGCTACTTAAGGCCAGGCACATTTCCAATAAGGAGCCTGGCCTGTACCCCGTTACCACAAGAGGGTACCAAACACCCACAAAAAGCTTTCCAATCAGAGCCAAGAGTCTCTTTATTTAATAGAAAAGGGCGCTGTGTTTTTCTTCAAAGTAAAAAGTATCCTTCAAAACCTGCCATTGTAGCAACATATGGTTTTGTCTTGGGAGTCTGCAGAGGAATTTTGTTGCATTGTTTATTTTTAACAATTTAGGAAGAGCTTTTATTATAACAGGGAATCGTGCCATGTTGTGTGGGGACCATTTTCATATTAAACGGACTCAGTTCTTTAAGGGGGTGTGGGATGGAGGAAAACCTTGTCGTGCCTTTCTTTATGGCTCAGGTCCTGGCACAATGTTTATTGTGTCATAAATAACCAAGAAATGGGTTTCTACAAAGACGCAAAGACAGCTGCTTCAGGGATTCCCTACCACAGCGAGGTCCCTGTGAGTTTGAAAGAAGCCATCTGTGAAGTGGCCCTTGATTACAAGAAGAAGAAGCACGTGTTCAAGCTCAGGTGAGAGTTGCCAGAGAGTGGGGGTGTGTGTGTTGACTTTTCACTCCAGGCATTGGTTTTCTTAGATGCTGTGATCAGTTGGTTCCTTTCCTCTACCATCTAAAAGGTTACCGACAGAGTGAAGACGGAATAGGCACACATCTCAGTTAGAGTCCCCAGCGTCTCTGTGGTGAACAGCACAGCTGAACATTGCAGAAAAGGAGCTTTTGTTTTTTATCAGATGGAATTTAGTATTTCTAAGACAAGGTGAGCTCGTCACATCTCATAGTTTAAGGGACACTTAGAAAAATAGTTTACCCATCGTGCAGCTAAGCCAGTCCTTGGATATGCTGTTCTTTGCTCATGACTTATCTGGAGACAGGTCAGCTGAGTCATTCTGGAGCTGGATGAAGACAAACAGGAAGGAGGGGGTCCCGTGCTCCCCTGACTCACCCAGTGGATGTTCCAGATGCCTCTGGAACCATCCAGTCCACATCTCTACCCTGTAGAACACATTCGACTCCCCACAGAGTGGATCCAAGCTCAAAATTCTGCTTATCCTTGGAAATGGGCAGAAAAATCAGGTTTTTTTGTAAAAACATAAAAAGTAAAACTGTGAGTAGGTAGGATGACTAATACTAATCTGATCTGTTGCTCTGGGATCTGGAAAGCTTTGGTCTTCGGTTATGGGTGTATCTGACGCCAGATGGACGAGGCCAAGGACCACAAATGAGAGTGATTCAAGCGGTGTGATTTCTTGAGCTCTTGGTGAGCACACGAGGCAGGTCCCGACCCGGGACGCTTTACTGTAACATCCAGCGCAGACAGCCAGGCTACCTGGCTGCCTCCCTCTGTGCTTCCCTGATGCAGTGTCAGAGGGTTGGGACGTTGGCAGAGAGCACCTGACTCCTTTACACCAGTGTTGCCCACTTCCTCTTGACGCAGCCCTCCCTGCCAGCCCCTCCGTGTCACAGCAACAGCTTCACCAAGGCAGTTTCTTCGCTTCTGAGATGTATGTAAGAAGAGAAATCTAGGAGACCTTTTCTGTGACTTTCTGTCAGTTCAGAAAGTCTGGTATTTGTTAATGTGGGGCATATAAATGCAGTGGCAAGATTTCAACAGGGCTTATGATTTTCAAAGAGCTTTCTCTTGCATTCAGTTTAGAGCAGTGATCAGTCATCCAAGTGGTCTTTGCCACAACAAATCCAGGTATAGCTACATTTGGAACATTTTTTGATCCTTCCAGTGAGTGAAACAGGGCTTCTCAGGTGGCATTAGTGGTAAAGAACCCACCTTAATAAAAAAGAACCCGCCTGCCAGGAGACCTTAGAGACGT